GACTAATATGAAGTTGTTAACTTGAATCAGTTTATAAGTGAAATAAAGTTGTGTGATAAATAATGATCAGAATAAATATGGTCAATATGGGGTAAGAGAGAAAGAATTAAGTAATATGTAGAATAATATGAATTAGGCAAGAATTACCAGATAGGGATGGATACTGAGTAAATTTCTCAAAAAGGTTAGCAAGTGTAATAATAATAATAATAATAATGGACTCTGCCTTAAGCCTGGCCAATTTTATGGATTATTAATTTGGATATGATAATTGTAGAACCTGATAAGAAATTATTGAATAGAATATTCTTCGTTCATATATGATTGTGTTTTAATATAATGGGAATTTTTCAGAGAGAAAGCGAAGGTCGATTGAAATTTCAATTCCTAACGTTACAAAGATGTGTGAATTTATTTATTTGTTATACTTATAACAGTTTTATGATATTACTTAAGTTCACACTGTTCTTTAAATGTTTTTGTTGTTATTGACAAGACAACCTATCTTTCGGTTACAGAATGTAGAAAACATGTACAACACCGTATTCATTGTTAACGTTTATTTATATTTTTAAAGTATTTTACAGATTTGACTGGTTATTCATTGTTGATAGATGATGAGACCATTATTTTTTTTACGAAGTTGACATGTACAATAGGTTTTTAAATAATTTTAAAATCGCTGGTAAAATGCCTAATGCAGCAGATCAATTCAGACACAATGACTTTTAATGATGGACTTAAAAAATTAAAAGTCCACTTGAGGATTTGCTATTTCCATCACCATGACAACATGAGACTTATTCATGTAATTATTTTGAACATTTGATAATAAGGGTTGAATTCATATCCGCTTTAAATATTTTATATCAGATATTCATCAATAGTTATTATAGTATTATAGACAATTGACTAAAATGAATAAGTAAGAATAGTAGCAATATACTTAGTATTCGATTGACATCATGAATCGATTGATGTTAGACCACTATTGAATAACTGAAAGCACTGGTCAGCCATTTCGTCCTAGTATGAGACTCCTTATAAATGAGCATTCACGATCTCGCAAGTGCGATTTGATCACAGGACTTTTAGTTCCAATCAATTCATGATCTCAACCAAAAACTTAACAATCTTCACAACCCCATACTGATATGTTTAGTAGTCAAATATTTTTTGTTTTACAAAATGCTGAAATATGTACCTATTTGAATGATTATGAATTTTTGGATGAGTTGTTCTCATTGTTTAAACAAACTGTTCTTGAACATTGTATAAAATTTAAATTCGGTTTACGCTTAATTTCACTCTAAGTACATTGAAATCAGTATACAAGAATCATACGCGAAGTTTTTTTATTTTAATTTGTAAACATCACATTTTGGAATAAATACCTAATAACTTGAGATGTAAAAGTGATCGAATTGATAGTGTTTTACATGTTATGCTTTACAGACTAAATTTACTATAAAAGATAGTTAAATGCAATATATGCTATAGTGTACAGTATTAGATTTTTATACAATACTAAGTCTTACATCATGGAGACTTTTAAGTGTAAAATTAAACCAATTGTTAATAGTGATTAAAAGTTTGAATTTTGGTTCAAGTGAACATTGAACAATGACATAATGAATGTACAAAGCTAATAGTTGAAAATAGTTACCTTAAGACTACAGATTTTGATATTACCGAACACCCACACACGTTTAAATCTGATAGCGAAGAAGAAACCAGTTTACTGGTATTTATCTGTATATTTAAATTTAAGGCTACTTTGGATTACAAAATTACATAATTTACAAGGCGATTGAAATATAGTTTGGTTTGGATAGCTGTTTCATTGGTGCTTAAAAGTTACATTCATCGATAACTGGTGTAATTAAGCAATCTGATGAAAATTCCTTGACAGTAGTATGATATTTATAACTTATTATCACTTTACTAGTGACAAAAGAGCTTTTAAATCGTCCCGAATGTTATGATTATGGTCCTAAGAAATGGTTTTAATGGTTGAATGTTTTTTATTCATAACTATATAATTTATTTTGTTATGTTTTATTATTGCACTAAAGCGATATCTTCCACGACAAATGAGACGATCAATAAAGTATGTTTGGAACCAATTAAATCAGGTCCATGCAGAGCTTCCATCGAGATGTTTGCTTTTAGTGTAGACCAATGGAGATGTATCAAATTCATTTATGGTGGTTGTCACGGGAATTCCAACCAGTTCGCTAGCATAGAAGAATGTGAAGCTGTATGCCATTAAGTGAATTATAATTTCAACAAATATTTTCCAAGTTATATAATTCACTGTTTGATTTTCTTTGGTTTTTTAGATTACAATATATTTCTTTCATGATACACCGATTATTTCGATTTATAAAGTTTATTTATAATCCGTGCAGAGTTTTGTAAAGAAAAACTATCTCAAGATTTAAAAATATATTATCCAACAGGAAGGCCGCCTGCTTGAATATCTGGGCTACCTGTTCCTGCCATCTAGATATTTCAACAAGTTATCTTATTTTCTTGTTTTATTACATGATTATGGCATAACCTATTCAGGTGCGTTTTTGAAAAGTGTACAACCTTTCGTTGTATAAATTACAAATGACCCAATCAGAGATATCGTGGTTTCTGGCAATATGTAGCGAAAAAAAGTACATTATTTAGATGTCGATTGACTGAACTGTTAAGTTCTAACTGGCGATCACTCAATATTTATCGTCAAGATCGACCAAGAAGTAAGGAACGGAAACTTGTGGAAATACTTTGTGCTGAGAATTCTATATTATACCAAAGATATAATATTGAATAAAGCTGATAATAATAATGTCCACTCAAAAATTACTTGTTAAGTAAGATGTGATTTCTTTTAATCGCTTGACTACACGTCGTAAATAATCTTCAAAAGGCGATTTCAGTAACATGAAATATTTATGTAACCTAATATTGTTATTGATTTCTATGAATTCGTATTCCTATTCACACTACAAAAAAGTTCCTCAAGTGACATGTTTTCAATTCATTTTATTGCAAAAGACACTTTTTACTAATCGATTTGCTAGTCTCAACCTAATAATTTTTTTTCTTACTATCAAGGCTACTTTTAAAGAAATTCCGTCCAGTAACTAGATAATAGCCAAGTTTACATTTACCTAGTCGCTAATATGTCTCTTCATTTGGATTACATGAGGCTTGAACGAAGAGACAGAGCTATCTCACAATGTTCAAAGAATCGAAGATAGGTCTGACTCGTCATTTAGCGAAGGCATTTCAGAATTATGATCACTGATTCAATAATCTTTATTAGATTATACTCACAAATCTGATTTTGTATTTCCGGATATAAAATAGAACTATTTATGATATTGTCTAAAAGTGTAAGAGCATAACTAATGTTGACTGAGAACTTGTTTCTGTATATTGTAAATGGTTTGAGAATAAAGTAATATGTAAGACTAAATCTACACACACATAAATCAGTATATACATATACACAAGTAAAAAGCACTTTAAGTGAACAGTAACTTCACGTAAGTCTTTCACTTTGAGATATCCAATGAACAAATATAATTTATTTTCATTATATTAGGATGGAGAAATTTTATTCAAATTTAAAGAAAAAGTAATTTGAGTGGGTTTATTTCTTTTTGTGTTTAGCAGTTACGATAATCATAAGTACTCGAAATCAATGAATTTTATGCTGTGTCGGTTTAGGATTATTGTGTCAGAAGTCACGAAATTTTGTCTCAAATTTATTTGTTACACCGAAAGAGCAGGAAATCAACCATGTGTATAACCAAGTAATGGATTAGAAATAGTTTTTTTTTGTAATATTGACTATTCTTATCGAAAATGAAACAACTATTGTTATATCTCATTTAAGTGTCAATTGTAAAAGTATTTAAGTAGTCGGAATTAAATCTAGAACAAAAGGTATTAGTTAGTCAGTAAGAAGTTGTAAAGGTGACTGTTTTCGAGACAAATTTACCGGAGGTCTAGTGAGAAGCCGTGACCAGTAGAGCTAATTCGTGTCAGGCGTGAAGCAGTTACCCACTGAAGACGTGAAAGATGGTGACGCAAAGTCGTGGATTAATTAGTTAGACATTAACAACGTTCGATGTCAAGTCACTAGTTCAGGAACTAATTGTTGTTTGATTTTAGACTAATGAAACGATTGGTTAGTTGTACTTAGATGAAAAACTGCAGTGAAATCCACAAAATGTATTTAAATTTAATAAAATGTAAATTATTTTCCAGAATATTTATAATTCTTTCAAGATGTTAATCCGAGATATAAAACAGAATAAACCCTCTGAATATAGCTCAGAAGACATAAGTATCATAAGCGACATTGACAATCAACCAAGGATGTGCGGCATGGATTCCATCGTTAATCACAATAAACTTATTTCATAATGGCTACATTGTGGCAAGTTGCATAGGTTTCATATATTCCAACTAAGACTAATTAAATTTTCGTCAAAATGTCTTTCAACAACGAGATAATAATTTCAATGGTTGAGGTCATGAGTCAGTTGAAGCTAGACCACCATGGAAAACCTGAGAGCACTGCACGGCCGTTTAGTCTATTGTGGGACTCCTCAGTAGTGCGTATCCACGACCCCATCCCTCGCGAGATTCGAACCCAGGACCTCGCACGCGAGTGTTTAGCCATTAGACCACTGAGTCGGCATCCAATGGTGTTAATGCCTAACTTCAACTAATCCACGAAATTGAGCGACACATCCACCTTTGTCTTCAATGAGTGATTGTCTCACAACAGACCTGGTTGAAATCCACTGGTCACTGCTTCTCATTAGAACTCTAGGATATACCTCTCGAAGTCAGTCACAAGTGAGCATATGTTGTCTAGCTTCAGCTGACTCATAATCTCAACCATTGAAATTACTAATAATATCCACAAAACCCCTTCTGATATTAACGAGATAATAATTTCAAACCATCAAACTAGTACTCAGTCAATTGATAAAACAATAAAAATGTTGTAATTTCAAATGAAATAGATAAAAACCGAAATAGAGTGAGTATAAAAATTCTACATTGATCATGAAAATCCTTACACATTATTAAATCTTTAATAAAAATCAAATTTATAATAGCTTATTATAGTTTTATTTCATTCATTCGTTTTACATAAAGAATAAAAAGTAATTTAACAAAGTAATCAGCATTTTTCATTTGTCTCTTATTATTAAAATGAAAAAAAACAAAACAATAAAGTTATACGAGATAAGTTGAAAAACAAATCGACTAAGAATTTAATTGATTTGCTCAAAACAAACAAACAAACATGGAAGGTATGACTGTGGAAACGGACAAAAGATATTTTGTATGCTTGACATAAATTAGTTGAACGAAGTGAAAAAAAAACATGACAAAGATAAAACTACGTATGATAAACTGTAAATAGAAAGTAGAACAACCTTTAAAAAAAAGGTAGACAATGATTATACTAAGGAGGAGGAAGAGAGGAAGAAAGAGAGAGAGAGAGATTACACGAAGATCCCCACAGCCATCATATAATAAATGAGTAAAGTATATAATTTAGAAATTCATATAAAACATATCACAAATGTAGAAATTATTCTTCACAAAAACCAACCACGTATAGTTCGCCTATATTCCATTCAATGATGTTTTATTTTGACTGATATTATTATTGGTGATATCATTCTCAATATTCATACTATTAATATTATTGTCATTAACAATACTATTGCAATCTTTATTAGTAGTATTGTTGCTGACTCCTGGACGTAAATGTGATGGAGCAAGAAATTCACCATAAAGTCGTAAAAGATGATGTAAAGCTAATGCTATTTGATTACTTCCACCGGTCACCAGAATACAATCAACAATATGAGGATATAATTCAATTATACTAGACCAGATTGAATCATCCACTGTATATTTTGAGTATATTGGACAGGCATTGAATCACATATCAGGATAATAGTAACCAGAATGGGAACATAAAGAAAAAAAAACATTTCATAAATGTGGAAATAGTTTAAATAATTAAGGTGTAAAGTAAACTTGTTCATTTAAACTAATCATTAAGATGTATGTACAATACTTGACAGATTTCATTACTTTTAATACTCATAATATCGGCAAAAATGATTTCATTTGTAAGTAGATTAAATTGAAATTCTCTTCTGTGAATAGCTATTTTAAGTTACATAATTAATACTATTAATAACTTTCCATTAGATAAGAACAAGAAAGAAATCAAAGCTTCTAATCATCTGTAAACGACGTTAATTACAAAGAATGAATGTGCTTTAAAGTATAATTTATGACATAAATAATGGGTTATTTGAGTTATGAAATGAAAATGATAATATTACGTAATCTGGCGGAATATTTAATAACTGAAGTGGCATTAAAAATATTTTGTAATTGGCTATTGCAAATCTGTTGATTAGAATCAATAGAGACTCCTAATTATATCAAGTCATATTTCCTGCTACTTATAAACAGCTATGGAAGAGATCATTGTATCCATCGTATTGATGATGATATACAATTACACAGAGATTGTCAATTTACTTCGTATTGTTGAATTTACTTGAGAATTAAAATGTGAAGCTTTTAGTGGCAGTCACAAGCTCATTTTCGAAAATCTTTGTGATGTGTCATCATGTGAGTGAAAACTGAGGAAAGAAGAGTAATAAAACGCAGTACTCGATTCGAATATTTGATTGTGTATTTATGGCGGTGACTGTATTTAATAGGCGAATCGATGAAATATCAAAAACCTCAATTCTAAAATCAATCTTAACATGGTGGCATTATACTCTGCGGATAAATTAACCAGAAAGCGCCTTCTAGATTTTTGTGGAAAATCCATTTATCCATATAGACACAGAGCACTTCCACATTACGGTAGTGCGAAGAATAAGCGAATTCATTGATTTATTAAAGTATTACCCTAAAAACGACTAAATATTTTCCAATTGTCCTGATTATATAATGGTGCTTATAAAACTAACAGAGTTAGTTAAGAAATGAAGGTTACTGAAGTAATTACTGTGAAAGTAAACACAACTAGACGTTAATGAAACAACCTTAAAGGTACATCTAAAGTGATATCAACTTAAAACTACATACCTAATGAACAATCCCATCCACGTGTCACATTTCAAATGTTTTTTTATATGTGTCGGCCTTGAAGTCTGTCAGTGATAAATACAATTTTTCAAACCAAATTTACATATAAAGGAAAGCTTAATGGATTTGCCAACACAGCTTATTTACAGAGTTTTTAGTGCATTAGGTTAAAAAGAGTAGGAAATAACCCCAAAACATCAATTTTATACTTACCGTCATGTTGTATTGGAACAGACCGAAGTGATGTTAACATAACTGTCAACGCTTTGAATACGTAGCTAATTTCTGACAAACGAGCACTGCGTATGAAGAGAGAGAAAACAGTTAACTTTGGTGTGTACTTATATAGTATGATTGGAGAGCGTTAGGAAAAAAGTTGTATATTAAATTCACCATTTAAGTGAAGAGGCAACAAAAATTTTATAAATCTCTTCTGGGTATGTTTACCGTTATTTTTCCTGGTATTTATTCTTTTTCCAGGTATAGGAGCAATAAATTTCCCATTATTCTAATTTCTCTGAGAAAATGGAATTCCGTTATTTAGGAGAAACTAGAACAAACTAATTAAATATTCGATTATATTTCATCATGATCTCATTGTGTGAAGAACTACCGAAGTTCAACAACAATAGGTGACCATTTCACACATTTTTGTGACAGATGTCACACAAGTATGTGCCACTACCAAGATATTGGATTTAGCGATGGCATAATTTATTTTCAACACCATATAGAATCACTGTCATACATTATTATTAGCTAATACATCGGACTTAACCGATTCGGTATTTGAAGGCTCTTAATAGAACTTAGTGATACTTATCTTAAAAATTGAGACTGCTAATGAGCACTAAATTATTTCTCATACCAGTGCCCCCAAATGCCCTGGTACGGACGAGAGTGGGGAGAGTCCGCTCTCTATCTCGAAATGCTCTCACATGGCCACGCGTATATAGCCTCTGTCAAGGAAGTCCTACTCACTACCTTCTCGTGGCATTACTGTTGTTTACGAAATTAAGAGGACGAAAAGCGAATGTCAGGAGCTTTAACCAGGTTGGTGGACATGAAGAGTTCACCTAGGGGAGTTGGAAAATCTTGATTACAAACCAATCGTGCACATGGGCTCCAGTATCCTGCAGGAACAAATGGCGTGTGAACCAATCGTTGGTCACCGGCTACCATGGGACTGCATCTCCTTACGATGCTCCACTGCCTTGTGGATCAGACCTTCAGGTCGAAGGCTTTGGGTGTGGCCCCCTAAGGAAACTACCTGCTTCGGTCTGGGCACCCGGGCAGTATCACAGCCCTCACACATATCAAATGAGATTTGTGTGGCGCATATGTATTTGGTGCCTCCTTGTACCAATGTCTATGTGTTAAAATAAATAAATAAATGAATCTCATACCAGTTATTAGGTATTCCTTTGCTTTTAATAATTTCTCTCTGATATCAGTCTACAGAAAGAGATATGGTAGTATACGTGGTAAATAGAGTATTACGGTATATAAGAAACTATTTACAAATATAAGCAAAATATTTTATATTAGCTAACCGGTCAACTGTAGTCCAGTTATTTACACTCATTTATGTCAATTGTTTCACACTATCTCAATGTAAAAATTCTATCACATTTTTGGTTGTAAGCAGCTGACGAGAAACCTCAAAATATTGTGAATTCATATTATTCTGCATCAATATTTGTTCTTGCTTTATTTAAATTTATAAAGGGAACTAATTGCATGAGATATCTCTGCTCTGATAGAAAAATTTCGATTGATACTCGAAAACCAAGTATACACTCGTGTGTTTAACTTAAGATCACACTTATTTTCACAAAATGATATAAATACTAAAACACCTGACCATGATAAGTTTGTACTGGAGTTTCGAACGTTAGATACAGCGAAGAAAACTCGAATTTAGACTTTTGTTTGACTATCTCTTAATAATTTGGCGTGACTTTAAAGTTGTTTCGATAAGTAAATAAAAATGACACAACAAATATCAACGTAATATAAACTGGAGAAAAAAATTACATCCGGTTACAAGTCTTGTCCTTTAGATAAAACACAAAAAGTGTTCAGACACTAAAAAAATTTATAACATACTTTTTGGGGAAAAATTTGGAAGAGCGAAGTTATGGTGAAGATGTCCTTATTAAGAGAAACCATATGAAAAGTTAACGATTAGCGTAACGTTGATTCAGGAAAAGTAAAATAAAACAGCGAAGTGACAGTGCACTCGTACCGCGAGAAAGCTGTGAGTAGGAATCCCCTGAAGTGGCTGTATACGTGTGGCCATGTGAGAGCATTTCGAGGGGGAGAGCTGATTCTCCCCACTATCAACCGTACCACGGCATTTATGGGCCCGAAATACTGACCTTTCATCAAAATATCTTATTAGTTCCTTGTTTTTCTATGTATTATGCAACGCAGCAACTGCTTGATTTTCAAATAATTACTTTAATTATCGAAATTCTGTTTCTTCTAACTGCTCAATGCTATTTTACAATTATTATAACATCATATAGTTAATACATAACGTCACTACACAATTCATTCTGTCAAAGTGGGAATTTCCACTAAATTAATAAGTGATTGAATAATCAGTCAACATGAGAAAATAAACAAATATGGCGAAGTTGATAAGACTATGTAAGATACGTATATCAAAAGATGAAACAAAAACAAAGATAAAAAGATTGGAGACAGGGTCGCAATGAAATGAGGGAACAGTTCAACGTTCAGTTTATAAGAAAGACTAATGGAGTGGGGTTTATCTCAATTTCAATAGCTCTTTACTAATTAGTTACAAAAAAGCACTTGTCAAAATACTGTTTCACAGAAGAGAAAGAATATGTACTGCCGATACACCAGAAAAGGAAGTTATGGATGTTAAAAAATGTTTAGAGAATAACGGATACCCATTGAAATTTATTGAGAAATATGAAAAACGTGGAGATAAAAAACCCAAAGAAACTGCTTAATGTCAATGGTGATGATGTTACAGAGTCAATCAATGAGACTAAAATCTGAATTGACAAGAACTTATCCTGTAGCTAAACTGATTGTCCTGTCCAAAACAACATGTTCTTTAACACAATCAAAGGTCGAAATGTATCCCTTTCATGTTACCATCACTCGTGTGTATAAATTTACATGTTTCTGCCAAAGCAGTTACATTGGTAGAACAGAAAGGAGAGCCTATGTCCGACTCCAGGAACATTTTCCGAAAAATTTAAGATCAAATGGATTAAAAGAATTCAGCAGTGCCATAGTAAGAAATCTCCGTGACACAGGACATGAGGTCGATATAGTGAAGTCCTTCAAAGTGATTAAAAAAATAATCAAACTCCAATCTTTTGAAATTTGCCGAAGCAATCGCAATCAAACGTCTAAAATCAGATCTATGAATCCAAAAAGAAACAGTGATAAATCTTTCCTTACCCTGGTAACATTACACTCTTTACATTTATTGCGAACTCCGCCTGTAGCCCTTATAGGGTTACTGCCGGTCCCAAGCCCGGGTAAAGGAGGAGGGTTGGGCATGGGGTTAGCGTCCCCATCCCGTAGAAAACTAACTCGCTAAAAAAACGCTTACCAGAAAAAATAATCCAAACCATTTAAACTCTGCCCTGGGAGTTAGAAGGTCTTCAGTTAGAAGAATTATGACGCTTCATGGTGAAAGCCGAGTTCCTTCGGAAGCCACGAGGCCGATGCCCCTTCTAACAACCAGAGCAAAAATTTTTATAGGTACATGGAACGTTCGAACAATGTGGGAAACCGGGAAGACCAGTCAAATAGCAATGGAAATGAGGAGATACAACTTAGCAGTACTGGGAATCAGCGAAACCCACTGGACCCAAGCTGGACAGAAAAGGCTAGCTACGGGAGAGATGCTGCTATACTCCGGTCACGAAGAGGACAATGCTCCACACACTCAGGGAGTCGCTCTTATGCTGTCCAAAGTAGCACGAAATGCACTTGTAGGATGGGAGTCTCACGGATCCAGAATCATCAAAGCATCATTCAAAACAAAGAAGGAGGGGATCTTAATGAATATTATCCAATGTTATGCACCCACCAATGATAGCAACGACGACATTAAAGATCAGTTCTACGAGCGGCTGCAGTCAATCATTGAGAAATGCCAAGAAAGGACCTAACTATTCTGATGGGAGATCTAAATGCCAAAGTCGGAATAGACAACACTGGATATGAAGATATTATGGGACGACATGGACTGGGAGAAAGAAACGAAAATGGAGAAAGATTTGCAAATTTGTGTGCATTCAACAAATTGGTCATAGGAGGCACAATATTTCCACACAAGCGTATACACAAGGCTACATGGATCTCACCGGACCACACTACAGAGAACCAAATAGATCATATTTGCATCAACAAAAAATTCCGAAGGACAATGGAAGATGTGAGAACCAGGAGAGGTGCTGACGTAGCTTCAGATCACCACCTAGTTGTAGCCAATTTAAAACTGAAGCTAAAAAAGAACTGGACAAGTGGACAAACAGCACTACAAAGGTTCAATACAGCCTTCCTTCGAGATACTGACAAACTCAATGAATTCAAGATAGCTCTCAACAACAGGTTCCAAGCCTTACAAGATCTACTGAAAGAAGAAGAAACTAGTATGGAGGACAACTGGAAAGGCATCAAGGAAGCATTAACTTCAACGTGTCAAGAGGTTCTGGGCCTAAAGAAACACCATCATAAGGAATGGATCTCTATAGAAACACTGGACAAGATCAAAGAAAGGAAGAACAAGAAGGCAGCAATTAACAACAGCCGAACACGAGCAGAGAAAGTCCAAGCACAAGCTGAATACATAGAAGCAAACAAACAAGTGAAGAGGAGCATTAGAGCCGACAAGAAGAAATACGTGGAAGAACTAGCAACGACGGCAGAAAAAGCTGCTAGAGAAGGAAATATGAAACAGCTTCACGATACAACGAAGAAACTAGCAGGGAAATACAGTAAACCAGAGAGGCCGGTCAAAGACAAAGAAGGCAAGCCAATCACCGAAATTCAACAACAGCGTAACAGATGGGTAGAATACTTCGAGGAACTCCTGAATAGGCCGGCTCCAATGAATCCACCGGACATCGAAGCAGCACACATAGATCTTCCTATAGATGCACGAAGAAATTAGAATGGCCGTCAGACAAATCAAGAACGGGAAAGCAGCAGGACCCGACAACATACCAGCTGAAGCACTGAAATCAGACATCGAAGCAACCACAAGCATGCTATACCTTCTATTCAAAAAGATTTGGGAGGAGGAACAAGTGCCGATGGACTGGAAAGAAGGACACCTCGTCAAGATTCCAAAGAAAGGAGATCTGAGCAAATGTGAAAACTACAGAGGCATTACACTACTGTCAATACCAGGGAAAGTCTTCAACAGAGTGTTGCTGAACCGGATGAAGGATGCAGTAGACGCCCAACTTCGAGATCAACAAGCTGGATTCCGTAAGGATCGGTCGTGCACAGACCAAATTGCAACACTACGGATCATCGTCGAACAATCAGTTGAGTGGAACTCATCACTATACATCAACTTCATTGATTATGAAAAGGCATTCGACAGTGTAGATAGGAGGACATTATGGAAACTTCTTCGACACTACGGAGTTCCTGAGAAGATTGTCAACATTATCCGGAACTCATACGACGGACTACAGTGCAAAGTAGTGCATGGAGGACAGCTGACAGATGCATTCCAAGTAAGGACTGGAGTCAGACAAGGCTGTTTACTCTCTCCCTTCCTCTTTCTTCTGGTGGTCGACTGGATTATGAAGACCTCGACATCTGAAGGAAAACACGGAATACAATGGACAGCTCAGAATCAATTAGACGATTTGGACTTCGCAGACGACCTAGCCCTCCTATCACGTACACACGAACAGATGCAGATGAAGACAGCCAGTGTAGCAGCAGTCTCTGCATCAGTAGGCCTCAGCATACACAAAGGGAAATTCAATGTGGAAAACAGCAATCCAATCACTCTTGATGGCGAAACTCTGGAAGATGTAGAGTCCTTCACATACCTGGGAAGCATCATCGATGAACAAGGAGGTTCAGATGCAGACGTAAAGGCGAGGATCGGCAAAGCAAGGGTCGCATTCCTACAATTGAAGAACATATGGAACTCAAAACAACTTTCAACCAATATCAAAGTGAGAATCTTCAATACGAACGTCAAGGCAGTTCTACTGTATGGAGCTGAAACTTGGAGAACTACAACAACCACAATCAAGAAAGTACAAGTATTTATAAATAGCTGCCTACGCAAGATACTCAACATCCACTGGCCGGATACCATCAGCAATAGCCTTCTGTGGGAGAGAACAAACCAACTTCCAGCTGAAGAAGAAATTAGGAAAAGACGATGGAAATGGATAGGACATACATTACGCAAATCGTCAAACTGCATCACGAGGCAAGCCCTAACTTGGAATCCTGAAGGGAAGCGAAAAAGAGGAAGGCCAAAGAACACATTGCGTCGGATAATAGAAGCAGATATGAAAACGATGAATTACAACTGGACGGAGCTAGAAAGGATTGCCCAGGACAGGGTTGGATGGAGAATGCTGGTGAGCGGCCTATGCTCCTTCACGAGGAGTAACAGGCGTAAGTAAGTAACATTTATTGCGCCATCCATTATTATGAAGTTTCAATTACATCATTGTCATTTTTCATCAATTCATAACTGGCTGATTTCAATTCAGATTTCCTTTATTACCATTAATCTATTATCAGTTGCTTCATTACATAATCACCTAATGTTTGTTAAATTCATGAGTTCTAGTCGCTAATTCAATGTTCTGGAACTTTCCCTCCCAAACTTTATTTATCCGAAACAAAATTTTTCATGACCTTATTAACTCTATTAAAATCTTCGCTACATCGTGATACATATATTCATCTTTAATCAGCCTCTTATGTGTAAGTATGTCAATACCTATAATGTTGATTTTCAAATATTTTAGGTTGTAAGCAGCTGGTAAGAACCTAACGAAATAGAATGTATTCATATTATTCTGCACCAATCTTCGTTCTTGCTGTCTTTAGGAAAACAGAAATGTTGAAATTGACAAAGTTTATTAGATGAACCACAAATCACCATAGTAGGGAAAGGCTAATCACACTTTCCTTCTGTATACACAGGTCAGGTCGGAAACGTTTGACAGTGATCGCCTCTCCAAACAGAAGATAAGCCTTAATATACAGTTGAATTATATAAAAAAACAAAGTCAATTAACTTTTGTAAAGAAATGAATAAATAATTTATTAGAATCGAAGCTCACCGAGGTAGTGGACATTTTCCAATCAATTGCGACGACTGATAAAACTTAAGCAATACAGAACGACATCTTTGCAGGATACTGCGTACAGCTGTTTTACTAACCATCAGTGAAAAATTTGTACTTGATGGACTAATTTTATAGCCGTTGTTATTTCCAACATGACCATTTTCTAACAAAACTGGTGTCGATATGGTTGACGATAATCGTACGTCTGAAGGAGCTGAAAAGGCATGTGACAATAATTTTCCAAAACATAAACGAGCGAAATTTTCACGAAACGTTAACCGTCTCAAACGATCAAGATCAATGTCCCACCCCAAAGATTCGTTCATAAGTTCATCTTGAGGTAGTGAGGTAACCAAACTCATTTGACGAACAGCTCGACCTAGACCTTTAGAAAAATTTATTCCACTGTGAGATACACTAGAATGGTGATCGACGGAATTATGGCGACATAATCCATTCGTATTAAAATCTTCACTGTTGTTATTACTATTATTAACATCTTCATTAACTGTTGTACTGACTGGAATAGCCGACTGTACAGAACCCAGGCTGAGTAAATTAATTAGACGACTGATGAAAAACTCTGGCAATTGCGCAGGATTCGACAGGAATAAATCGCTGATTAAATCTACGAACTAAGTTTGTTTATGGATTTTTCACAGCAAAAAAATAACAGGAAGGGATAGAAAGATAAAAAACGAAGAGATATTACTTAAAAATTTAAAATAGTAAGCAAAACTCATACATGATTATATAATATGTATTGTAAAATAATTGCTCTTAATTCACTCGAAAAATAAAGATTGTTTACCATGTGGTTACGCTTAGTGAAACTTGAGACGAATTGATAAATAGTACATAATAAGAAACAAGTTCTGATTGGTTGAAATGTTAGTTACATATCAATGAAACAGAAATAGCTCATAAAGGAGTACTCTCAACACAAACATTTTATTCAGGACTACTGAAAACCAATAATTTTATGAATTTAAATTACCAAGCTTTTGTTTAAAATCAGAGTATGAAATACATGTGAACAAGTTCAAGTTGGCTTTTCTAACTATTTATGAAAGTTTTGTTTAGTAAATTAGAGAAGTAGATAGTGATAGACAGTCGGAAGCGTTTCCGTTTTGACAGGGACATAATAACCCAGTCATCCATATAGTGTTGGTCTTCAAAAGAAATACACAATAAATTCTTTGAGAATACAAGTGTGTCAAATGTAACTCAAAAACATTGTGAGATAAAAGCTTGTATTGAATCAATTTCTTAACTTATTTTTTATGTTGTTTTCCCAGAAAAAGGATTTCCTGATGATTCACATATTTTTTATGGAAATTCTTGTAAAAATGTAGCGAATGAATCAAATCATGATCGGAAACATGATGCAGTTTTGATGGATGCCGATTTTTCTAATGACCCATTATTCTCCAATGAAATTCTTAAAAAAATTGGGGAAAATATTTCAGAAGAATTAAATTCTGATAACCTCATACCAAATGTTGTTTATCCTCAACATGTATTCACTTGTAGTGGATTCTCTAGTCAATGTGACAATCCAACATTATTTTGTGGGGGAAGATACTGTCGGAAATTCAAAAATACTTATTATATATATGTATATATATATATATCAGGATCTAAGCTGCAGATCTTCAAAAAAGGGAGGTGTCATATCCTAACGAATGTTAAATTATGGGTAACCTCTGGGAACTATTCATAGACCGTTATATATATTGTATAACATTATATATATTTATATTCCTCTTATCATAAGCTTCTATATGACCTATTCTCTACTATGATGCGATTTACTATTCTTAAGTTATTTCCAATCTATCAATTACAGTCTCTCAAGCTCATAGACACTTTTGGCTTGATCTTGTATAGTTTTTTTTTTCATTTTATGGTACAATACGGTTTGATTTACTTGTATACAAACAGAGCATGTCTGAACTACAAGATTCATACAGTGGAAGCTGAGATTGTGTTCTGGACTCAACGAGTAAGGTTGGGCGAGAATCTACTATCTTGAAGGACTAATCAGAATCTCAAAGTTGACTCTAGGTTTCTTGTACTGGTTACCGCGTCATTGATTTGGCACAGTGCCAAGGTCAAATAGGTGGGTGTTCTAATTGGAGATCTTATTACGTGATATCTAGCGAGGCATAAGAACACAAGAAAAACTCCTAGAGTAAGTAAATAAGCCTGTTGTTTTAATGAAAACAAAAACATAAATATTCATACAGTTAACTAACTTTACAATCTAATTCTTCGTGTAGTTGGAACTCTTCAGTTGATAAGGATGATGGTGGTTCACTAAAAGTGAAGTAATTGGTTTAAACAGATTAACAGATAAACATGAGGTGTATAAACGTCATCGTGACTATCAAACGATATATATATATATATATATATATATATATATATATATCATGATTTACGAAACATTGTTTTTTTGAACTGACTTTAATTGGTTGTGTCCTACAGATAAGTTCAGCAGTTGTATTTCTATTCAATAGTATTACAGATAATAACGAAGATTAAATTTGCTCACCTTACAATCTCAGTGATCACGAGCGCAAGTTCCTTTAAATCAATACAATCTAGTTCAGTGAAGATTTCGAAACGGCAAAGCAATAAAAACAATTTGTAATGATAATATTGGAAAAATCAGAATGAGTTCAACGTTATTATTGATTGCATGGAGAATCCCACCTTCACTGCAAATTAGGGACATATTCAATCTAGTGTGCAATATATAACTGTATCAACACAGTAGTATCGTCCCTATAAATGCAGTTCTATTATTACAATACGATTAATTTAGAAAACTGATTGGAAGATATGTTTGTTCTTATATTTATTTGGTTAACAGTTAAAGCATGGCACAAAGTATATCTACGAAATCAGTTCATTCAAACAGATAGCGCACTAAACATTGCAATGTGAATATAGTCTCTGATTACGCAAAGACAAATTGTTTCTTAAAGACAACTTCGAGTAGTTACTTATGCCTGTTACTATCAGTGGAGCATAGGCCACTGACCAGCAGAGTAGTTATTCAGCTTGACAAAAATATATATGATTACTTAATTCACCTTGAAATTTGGATAGGGCCCTGGTGGCCAGTCAAAATGTAGTATTCGAATGAATAGCATAGATGTTTAAAGAGCTTTGAGTAAGAATAAAGTATGTTGCACGATATAGATCTGGTAACAGGGAGACAATATGTTGGAAGATAGAAATGTCAATAGTCTGAAGTATGTTAGTAATATCACATATATCCTAATAAATTATCTCAAATTAAAACTAAAATGTGAAATTTTTCTTCTTTAATTTCTTATTGTTAATACAACCAGTTGTGTACAGTACTACTTTTAAAAATGTTATACACTGAATTACTACTTCACAGTAACAACTGAAACCAAACTGATGAATAGTGTTATTGCAAACTTTAAATGATATTTTATTTTAAAAGAAGATGTATTAATATTTAGCATTCATTCGGATATAAATGATAATTTTATTTTCTATTCATAATGTCTCTCTCTCTCTGATGGTGTTGCTACGGTGATTTCAGATTATCTAAATTTTTCTGGTGATAAATGTTAGTTTCAAATTCTGTAAGGAGAATTATGATTGTTTTCTCTAAATTTATAACTTTACAATGACACTCTTCACTATTGAAATTGATTATAATCACTTGTAGTTTACCAATTTGTCTATATGGCCCAAAGTCATTTTTATTGAGATGCTGGAGAAAAATTGTAGCTTTGTGCTTAGAGAACAAAACTTCATCTACATTATTTTTTTATTACTTTTTATATAAAATTATTCTCATTAAAGATTGTTTTCTTAAATATCTACCTTGTCCTGAACTCTTAACTTCTTCCTGTTTTCTAGCACGCACAGAATATTCCTAAAGTGTTGTATCATTTAGTTGTCAAATCTATGAGGGAGTACAATTGAATTCAATCTCAAATTATTAGAGTATACAAATCATTTGTAACTAAGAATTATTGTAGATCAATCATAAACACTTAATAAATTACTATCATTGAAATGATAAATTATAGTTTCAAAAAATACATAACTAATAATAGTAATTTTCTGAGATTTGTAATGATTATATTCCATTTCATTTTAAACAGTAGTTATTTTTGAATTTTATGGATAGAAACAAAAAATAATAATAAAATGAATTACATTTGTCCTATTTATATACTCAGGAAGGGTAAACCACTTTATTGTTGAATGATAAATCACACAGTGGCTTAGTAAAATATGAAAAGCATACATGAAATACATTATTAGCTTTGTCCTTTACATATTTCATTATTCATCTAATTTTGTTGTTATTTTGATTGTACTCTAGTTCCCTTCCTGTTCTTTACATTTCAATGTTTTTTCTGCCAGGCGTTCCACTGAGATCGGTGCTATATACTACTTATATCTGTCAGTATAAGTAGCATACACTACAATAATAGTTTATAGATAATACACGTTCATCTATTAGACTATAATATCAAAGTTATATTATCTAATTTATAGGAAAGTCAATAAGATACTACTTTTTAATCAGTATAAGTATAGCTCGCATAAGGTTTGAGAATTAGTGAATTTTTATTTGACCTGGATCTGGACAAAGCTCTTTACGTTGTATGTATACGTTATAACAGGCAAATATATTAAAGAAAATATTTCAAAGCATTTTCAACAATCCTATGCTAATATCTCATGCGTTTCTAATTAAATAACTTACTTTTGACAAAAAAGAAAATCTTGGATAGCGTCCACAATATGTTTACATAAATCATGATTTGAAGATATCACTGTAATATATGAATGGAAAAAGTGAAAATAAACAATGTAGAATAATCATATGTCTACTGATAGATAAGTAGCATGAAGAATATTTATTGGAATTTCTCTTCCTATTTGATTAGAAAATAGATCAAATTATGGCGGAAAATTGGACATCATAAACTCCAAACAAATAGAAAATGAGGCTTATTGTATTACAAACCGATCACTATTGGTAAATGCTCTTAGAAAACAGAAGAATTGTTCTATCGAACAGTTTTATATCAGCCACGATTATGTAATCCTAATAAAAAAAAACTATATGTTTCCGACTGTACAACTATTACAGTTATTATTTTGAAATTTCCACATTTATTTTAGTCCTGAGAATCAAAACAACATCGGTTCACAGTACACATTCAGCCTGGATCAATTATATAATTGAAAGTTCGTAAAATAGATGATAATTCAAGAATAAAAGAAAAAGGATACAAGCGAAGAAGCTTTCATTAATATTTTAAATTATTGAATAATTGAAAGAAAACTGTACGCAACTTACCACCACCGCTACAGGGAATAGCGTCTTTTTTATTGAAATTATAAGTTTTGGACATATTTATTGGTTTGTTCGACAATACAATAATACCAGCAGTAATCACTTGAAAAAAGCAACGACATGCAAGTAACCAGGTAGTCTGTGATGGACAAGCATATTTCAATGCCATTGGTTGATGTAATGTCTGTAAATGGAATAACAGTTAAGTAGAAAAAGAAAAAAACAAGAATGCATTTAGTGGAAGAAAGAGTTAAATTTAAACATAAAGATTATCATCATACCACTATGATACTTTGAGAATAAAAGAATTGAATAAAACGGAACAGAATGAGTAAATAAGCTGAATATTAAATTTACGACAAAACTATGGAAAAATTGACTGAGGGTATGTTTAAAAAAGTATTATTATATATTTTGATACATTTTTCGGTGATACCAGGACAAAAATGAAATATTAAACGATCAAATAACAGAATGATTTCGTAAAATATGAAAACTATACATTAAATACTTCATTTGCGCATCATCCATCCGTTGTCTCTTACAAATTTCATCGTTCCTTCATTCCTCTCGTTATTACAATTACTCTCTGTTTCTATTTCTATTCTCTTCAATTCGATCTTCTTAAACTTTTGTTGCCAGGCCTTCCAGTTCTGGTTGGTGCTATATACTACTTATGTCTGTCGACATAAGTAGCATACACCACAGTAATGATATTAGGATAAAACAAAACATTAATTCAAAGAAATATGTTACTTAACTGAAAATAAAAAAATTAAGCAACCAGAAATGTTGAGAAGCGTAAAACGTGAGGAATAAGCAACAAGATAGGAATAAATCAATACTTTGGGAAAATTATTCAAAAAGTTTAGTTTAATAATAATAACAAAATCATGTTAAGAATTTTTTGGTATTCTAGTACTGTACAATCAATATTATTACAATATATCGTATTTGCTCTTAAAACATAGAAAAAGAAATATGGTACAGAGTTGAACATTATCTTCTCAAGTTAATGAAAAGATCGATGGTATATATATTCATAAATAGATCATTATTACCTAAATATACTAGTTAGTGAACTATAGGAACATCTAAGAATCCGAAAACTTGCAATCATTCTTTTAATAAGAGTCGGGAATAGTAGAGTTTGAGTCTAGTGTTTCTAATCCGTAACCTTAAGTTATTTAGCATCTAATTCAGAAATGAAGAATATATACATATATGAAGAGAATCAAGTGAAAACTTGAGTTCAATATTATTGTGCGAATTGTTTGAGTAGGTAGCTAAGCGGATAGAACAGTCTCTCTATAATTATTTATCAACCCCTTCCCAAACGTTTGTCATATAGGCCCGTGATATGAAATAGAGTTGCATAGGACTGAGAATTGTTCGCCCATCACAACTCCGTGGTTGGGGTCCTAGAGACAACGTAACTCAATAGCTTGAAACATTACAAGACATAGCTCAGAATAGGGAACAGTGAAGACCGTCCTATAATTCGTTTTTCACATTTTTGATAGATGTGAGACAAACTCAATTAATGAATGAAGTTTTTAAATATTGTATTTTAAAATTATGCAGTATTCTTATCCGTTTATTTTTCTCATTGCACTGCTCAACTCTCTTTTATTTTCTAAAATAATCATCAGCTTATTTGAGAGATACATCTCACTTTTGTTGTCCAGTTGTACAAGAGTTTACATACAGTGGGTAAAAATGAGTTAATTATTAACCTGAGGTTTTCACTCCTCCATACCGTTTATTCCACGCCCTATCTTAACCGTGATTACCAGATCAAACAATATGAAAAGAATAGAATGATAGATAAAACCAAATGTACTAGAAATATAACACGTACGATTTGGACCAAAAATAAATTCAGATCTTTTAAATTTATCATAACAGATTACAAATGCACAGCGATAGATGAAATAAACAAGCATGGAAAAAGAGATTTTAATAACGAGATTCCAGTGTTCAATACTGACCAAATAAGCTGATATTGACCGGTTAATATTCTTCAAAGCTCAGGTAAACCTTATTAATTATTATAATAATCTATAACAGTAGATCCATGTGTGTAATGATATCAGTGTAGTATAAACATTTCTAGTAATTTCCTTTCTACTTTTTGACGACAATATATTCTAAAGAAAAGTAGCTGCATTCATGATATCACTAAAACTTAGTATTTTCCACAAAACTCTATATTGATAATTATCATGTCTTAATTTTAAGCGGTAATCCTAGGATTCTAGCGAAGAGCTGTGATAAGTAGAAATGAAAATTGATGTGTCGGTCAGTAATCTATTGAAGGGCATGATAAATTGTCTCGCACTATCGTAAATCGATTGAGGTTAGACATATATGCCATTGAATTTCAGCTCAGAGATTTAGAAATTATGCGTCCATACACAAGGCTGAATGTACACTACCGAAGACTCTCATACTAAGGACTAAACCGATCTCAATTGCTTCTAACTTGTCAATAAATGTCTAACTTAAGAATCGAAAGACAAAAAGCAAATAACATATGCTTAAACAACTATGCAAATCAAAATGAGATAAATAAATGTTGAAAATTCAAAGATGTTTATAAGAAAATGAACATATGTCGTATTAGTTAACGTTTTTCTGTGAATTATCATTAAAAGATAACAAAAACATGTGATTTTAGCGGTAATAAAAAATGTACTTCATTGAATAATAATACTGGAAAATCTACTCGAAAAAAAACATTTACATGATACTGACAGATAATTCTCATTTAAACATTGATGTCTTAATTTACATGATAAACATTCGATATTCAATTTCATTATATAAAACATCTAGAAACCTACTAATCCAAAAACTAATGATAGAAACATACTTTGATTATGGAGTCAAGTATTTCAACACTGCACATTTCAGGCCATGTAACAGTTGTTTGATATAAATCCACAGCGATTAACAAAGATTTTTCAGCAAATACAATATAATTGAGCGGAACAACATCAAGCTATTAACAAACACATGTAAAAAGGTAGGAGAAGAAAGATATCAAGAAATTAATCAATATCGATAATAGCATTAACCTATTTTGATAAAGATTAGATCATCTTGAATAAAGTAGAATATCTAACGTATTAACTATACAACTTCAAAAAATTAGTATTATTCAAATATATGGCAAAGTAATCAAACAGAACATTGTTTATTGAATAGTGAAGCATAGCGTTAAGCGATGCTAACAGTACTAGGCTGCCAGTTTTATTTCTTTCCAATGATTTTGAACAGCAAAAATTATTGTAATTTGGTTTTTTAAAAACCGAATGTTTTGGAAATACCAAAATAATAAGTAGTTAAAATTTCTGTCTGAAGAAATTCGACCTAATTTTAAATACGAAAGATTGATGGGACACTTCAAATATATTGATCAGTGAATGTTCCATAGGTAATTGACAGAGATTATGAAAATCAAAAGTTTTAAAGAAACTTCAATGAACAATACATCTGACTTGTATTTAAACTCTGTATAATTATATATATTAAGATGAAATCAGCTTATGATAGTAATTGTTTTGAATATTGTGTCAGTACATAAGGTCAATGAAACACATTATAATGATATTTATTAATGACGAACACAATACGTAGAAAACTTATGCATAAACCAACAAAAGATTGATTTATATTATACAAAAAACAAGGAAACAAATATGCTTAACTTAAAATTTTTAGAATCTAAAGGTGTTTTTTTTTACCAAATCGATGTAGAACAGCTAAGAAAACGGATGAATATGCTGAAATATCACCTAGGTTGTAACCATAAAGAATTGTTATCAATCATTGTAAAACTACAATGGAATAAAATATGCTGAGTAATTCTACAGTAACAGAACAACCTATACAACTGGATTATTTAAATCAGATAGAAGTGTATTAATCCTAATCAACAGTTGAACGACTTATAATGTATTCAAATAACAAACTTACTATCCATATAAAATACGAATGAAATATAAAACGGAAGGGAAAATGATAAACATTATTTGCAAAATGTGATCATCCGTTAAGCTCTAGGTGTTATAATAACCAAAAAACTCACTCGATGATTGTCCGAATGATGTGGTTTAGGAATTCGAACAGCATAACCAGCTATAGTGAGCAGCAATTGTAATAAACGTGGAAGTATTGAAGAGGAACGACTGTTAGTTATGTTACTATTATTCTTATTATTACTATTTTCGTCCTTATTTTGATCAGAACCAAAATTCTGTAAGTAAGAAAAAAGAAAATTAGGCCAATGTATTGAAAATCAAATAAAGAGCACGTTCGTTCATAAAGAAAGAGAATTTAGGCATAAAAGTTTGAACTCATTACAAACTCTTCTTTCATTGAAGTTTTATTAAAACTAATCAGAGATAATTTGGTAGCCCATAAAACCTAACGAAAGATAATTCGAGTAAGTAGAGAAAGTAGACAATGAGTATCGTTAACTGTTATTTAAATAAAATCTTAATAATTAACAGATATTAATTACAGAACTACTAAGAATGAATGGATTTATTAACCGATAGGAAGTATTCATTTTTAATCATATATAAAATTCAACCCAGAATTGTTCAATGTTTACAATAGGTAGGAATTCAATAGTATTTTGAAACCTGACTGAATTACATACTATGGTGGTTTATTGGTTAAACCGTGAGGCTCTCAATAAGTTGCAGATTTGAAACCCCTTTCGTTTAGTTTAATCTTATCACCCGCGTAATTTTACTACCTTTCAGAGAAATAAGGAACCCCTAAGTCTAAAACATAAAACTTATGCTTTGTCAATTCGTTATAATACCAAACAGATTGATGATATACTGCCAAACGTTTAGTGTTAGCTAACCATAGTGTTATATATTCCATATTTTATTACGTCATAGCTTCTAATTGAAATATTAACAGTTTTCTTACAGAAAGTAACTATTGAAGAGTGATGAATCTATTTCATTAAGTATATTATTTATTTAACTAACTTGGTAGTCAAAAACAGTTATCATATTAATCATATCATCGGAACGAATAGCACAGGTATCCCTTGTATTAATGAACCAGAAAAATAAATACACCTAAGCTTCTGGTCAACTTTGGATATATATTCACATTGCATATGATCGTGTAACATAATCAATGACAGACAGTAAGAAAGGTATCGGAACTATTTATGAATAATTAACTATAGCATCAGGTTTTCATGGATAACTGACCATAATAAACACTTATAAATAACCGAATGAAATATTAGAGCTACAATTTAATTATCTACTGTTCGCAAATATTGACCAAATTTGTACTGGTAATTAGCAATTCAAAAACGTTGGGACATCAATTACAATCGCATTGACGGACAAACAAATAGAAATCAGTACACACTATTCATTTTATTGACTCATATCAGTTAAATCCAATTAGAATTCCGAAAGTGTTAATTTTCTTCAAATGTGCTTATAGTTTTATGATTATCAATAAATTTTCAGTTATATGAATAATAAACCATAAATAAAAAAAAATGAGAATAAGTAAGAATAAAATGTCTATCTCTGTTAATTGTGATATGATTGTTCATCTCTTGATATATATATTTAAGATTATATGACACTAACGTTAAAAAAATATTGTAGGCCATTCTCTTTGTTGACAGATAAAAACAGATTCGATCCAAGGTCTCCTGATAATTACTTCCAACCATTAAAAAGAAAAGTTTAGTTTATGCAAGTAACTTAGTAACTTTCGTTAGTAGCCAGATACAATATAATGGAACGGAATCGAATTAGTAATGAAGGGTCAAATGTACATGACATTAGTCACTATTCAGCGACTAATCAGTGGTCAATATGTAAAGCATAAATAAAGTCAGTCGTGGCCCCGATAGCTCAGTGTTGGTGATTCACACTGTAGAGCTGGATGATGGACGTTTGAACACCACAGTGAACACTAGTTACTTCAAACACAAAACTTCATTCTTATGTTTCTAACCGGCTATGAAATATATGTAAACGCATTAAATATAAACTACCTGTTGCTAAGACATTCAACTATGTTCAAGGATTGGAGTCTAGATTTTGGTTTACTTGCTTCAAATATATGACACGCAAAACATCTACAACCGACTGAATTCCGTTAAAATTATTATCCAATTACATAAACTGTTATATTTATTCACTTTTTTAATGTAAAAATAAGAAACTATGAAATATATTAGTGTCAGTATAATATGAAGCTGCTCAAAATATTGTCGCTATTCGGTATTGATTAACAAATCAAGGAGGAGAAGATATGTCTTCAATGAAAGTAAAAATGAACTGCTCACAGGAAAAAAACTTGGATTAAAATGAAGAGGTAAAATTTTCGAAGAATATTATGTTTATAAACCGAGAAATACACACATTAACGAAACGTAAGCAAAAAAAGAGGGACATTAACTTCACCTGTACAAGACAATTTAAACAACGTAATACAGCCTCTTGTAACGAATTCAATGCACCATCATCAATTATCATTGAAGGTGTTGTTGATAATAGTGTAGTCATGATAGTTGTAGTTGAAACGGTTGGAAATAAATAATTAATATACAATGGAATTAATACACCAATTTGTAATAATTCAGCTAATCGATCGAAATCTTTCAGATGAAAATCTTCTTTAATATAATTAAATATTGGTATGAATAAATCAAAGTATAATGTGATAAATGATATACTTGGCAAGTATATAAATGGAGGATAACAAATCTTGAAGATAATAAATGATATGAAGAAAAAGCAAAAACAAAACAAATAATTATGGATTGATTATACTTTAGTATAGTTTCGTATAATGTTAAAAATTGTTTGCTTTTTCAACATTTCTGTGCAAAACAATTTAATGTAGATAAGTTTAAGAAGTGATACAGTTAATTCATTTTTACATTGGTTGTTTGAATCATTCCGTTGATGTTTAGTCTCTTATTGGTATTTGGTGCATCCTGTGCGGATCGCTTCGATATTGCCTTCATTTCTGCTTATGATATAGTTTTTTCTAGCATTTGATTGCATAAACTATCACGGGAACGCGTGTTACTGTTTCAAATTAGCACTGATTTAGACAATTAAAAGTATAAAAATTGAATTGTGTAAATATTTAGGAATAATCAGTTTTTATTAGTTCAGTTACGTGGAAAATGTAATGATCGAGGTAACGCAAATAAAAGCTTGACTACAAAGTCTTTTTTAACATTCTATTTACATGAAGTGGCAAAAATACGCATAAGCACGAAAATAATTATTTATTTATAGACAGTCATATTCAAAGCACATGTCTCGAAGTTTTGCTCAACAGCTGTGTTTACTGTTTATTAGATCAACCAATCAGTAGTAAGTTGAGTGAATGTGTATCGATGATATCCGATGACGTGCTCTATAATGAAAAGAAAAAAAACTGAATACGAAAATGTAGACCAGTGAATTCCAACTAAGTTTTTTAAATATTTACTATTCTAACATAGGAACCTGAGAATTCACAATTGGATTTCGTGTGAGATCAGTGGTATTTATTAATAATATATTGTAAATTAAAACGAAATACCAGTCCCGACTTTTATAGTTCTAACTTGTTGATGTTAAACTAACGACCAAAATTATGTTTAGATTAAGTCAATTCTTTGTCGATATACATATCTGACAGCAATACTGCTCATTAGTTCTTAGAAAAACTAAACTTTCATAATTAAACATTTAGTCTCGGGCCTGCATATATAAATGCAACAGAAGAAACTTGACACATTTATCCCGATGAGTGAATGTACGTCGGTAAAGATTAATGAATTGTTCATGTATGTACCTGATGCTTAAGGAAACGATCAAATAAATAAAACTAGACCATATAAACTAGTTGTAGTTTACTGGGAAATACAGAATATTCTTATATTTTACAATACATGTATATGTGAAACAACAATCGAATCATCATAAATAATTTACAAACTAACCTTTTCACCACTTTCATTAACCGTTACAATTCTATTACTGTTGTCACTAATATATTGAGAATCAGAAGAGTTTACAGATAAATTTGTAGTAAGTGGAAAAGTGTTATTACTATTATTAGACTGAGCAAACGCTATCGCTCGTTTTCCAATTTGTAACCAAGTTTCCCAATACGCAGACCAAATCAATTTTGATGTTAGCAATGGTGTTGTAGATGAAGATGAGGATGGTGTAGGATAAGAAGGGAGTTGTATATCAAGTAAAATTTGCATACAATTTAATGAAGCTAATGAAATTTCTCCACTATCCATATAAGCAGTCACTTTCAAATAATCAAGTAATATCTGCCAACATTTTATAAAATCACCTTTTTGAAATTAATCAAAATGATAGCAAAATGAATTTTTTTTTAAATTGCGTTTCAATTAAAATTAAAATGTTATCGTTTTTTCTGTGAAAGAAAAAACACTCAGCACGACATTAAATAATTTATCAAAATTAGCAAACTGAACCGTAAATCATCCATATCAATCACTTCAAGTAACTATCTGAAACCTATGCCAATTGAACTCCTCGAGATTTCTTTAACAAATTAAACAATCGTAAAATGGATAACAATATGTTTACTATTCAGAGTGCAAACTTTTTGTTCCCTATTCAAGCATTTCGTTTATAGAGATCATGAACCGACTATCATTAAATATTAGGAAGCACTGGATAGCTGTTTCATCCCAGACTTTTCATCAGTGCGCGTCAACATTCTCCACAACTATATACTGATAATTCATTAATAATTGAGTGATTTGATTTAACGAGTATGATTAAACTTGTACAGTGAATGTTCAATATTAAAGGCATTTGATGCGAAAATCGTGAAAAACTAATAAATGTAAGCAGATAATCATTCGATAATATTACAGAGAAAGAAGTGTATAAATACTAATAAGACAATATGGAATATCAAAAGCAATTCGTGATTTGATTATTATAATTTTGAAAAAAGAGATCTTTTTATGAAAAAAAATCCCTGAAATATAAACGAAACATAAATTTCAACAGATTTTCATTAGAACAATTAATCATTGAAGTGAAAATTGAAAAATAAAAAAAAATTGAAAATAACAACACGTTTCATAATAATAATGTTTTTAGGCCATGAATAAAATATGCCATATATCACTTTGACTAATTTAATTCTTTTTTTATTGGATGAGCTTAAAACAAACACTATTCAACGAAATATATTTGTTTTATCATGCTTCCAAACATTTGTGATAGTCAGTCAGTAACAACGTAGAACTTCGTACTTACGTACGTACATCAGTTCGAGTTGACAATGAAACAGTCGGTTAATATGAATTATTATTATTATTATTATTATTATTATTATTATTATTATTATTATTATCAGGATGTTACTGTCAAAATGTTCTGCATGAACAAAAAAGGAATTACGAATATAATATGTATTATTCTTAGTCAAATGTCTACCGAAAAATGAAATGACAGCAATTTAATATCTATGAATGATGATTGCTATCAAAGATTATTGTTCAAACAAGCAATTACTGAAAAGTGTATATAGTTGTTTCATTATACAGTCCACAGATTATGTAGTAATGTGTGAGCTACGTATATAGATAGATATTAGTATGTGGTACGAATTGAAAGTGAATTGCTTACCATCAGAAGATTGAAGGAAAGAGAAGAAAGAAAGCAGAGAGCAATCTGAATAATAGCGGGATTGCAAGAATGATACAGTATATAAAGGACAATTCAAGGAAGATGTGCAAGCGATATATATATATATATATATATATATATATATATATATATATATATATATATATATATATATATATATATATATATATATATATATATATATCATTGTGTAGTTTCGCAAAAAGAAGACTTCGTTTATTACACTTGGTGTCGTTCATTAGAATAGTAATTATACATGATCTGTAAAACCTGCATAGACAAGCTACTATTTTGAAAAATAACGCATACAATCAGTTTGATTAATATTTACGTGCTTATAATCTGTATTATCATCATGCATTTTCAATGTACTAAAACTAAACGATTCAAACAATAAAGAACAAAGAATGAAGCATAAGAATAATGTATAGTAAGAAACAGAAAATAAACTTGAATGGAACTACCTTAAGTGACCAGAAAACAACAGAATGTACACTAGATCTATGTTCGTTAGCACTTATTTCAACTAAATAAAAACTATCGAGATCGTGAATGTGCATTGCTGAGGAGTCCCATATAAAGACAAAACGACCGTCGTGTGCTTCCAGGTTTTCTAAGGTGGTCTAACATTGATCCATTCATGACATCGATCTAAGTGAAAACTGTTAAGTATGTGAAATCCCCGAAATAGAAAAAAACAACAACATTTTGATGAAGAAACCACTTGTAATATTGATATATTAAATTAAAAGGGATTTCTGTTTGTTAACTTGCAGAATAAATTTTGTGTGAAAATTTTATTTATTATAATCTTACATTCATATGATAATTGTTCAGTTTATTATTTATTTCTGTAACTAATACTCAATGAATTTAATCAATGTACATGTAATTTATTGGTTCTAGTATGTTTACCAATACACCTTCATTGCATAACGTGTGTTTTAGAGTAGTTGGCACATGGATAAAAAGTAGTTGTTGTATCCTTATTCAAGAAGTCATTAGAGTAATCTGTATAAATGTCAATCACATAAATAAACATTAAACAACTTTGGACCCAACGAGTAATTCCATAATGCATACCAGTAACAACAACGTATTCAGTTTAAGTACAATATAAACTTTAATAGACGAACAGAAACGAAAAGAGGCCGAAGAAAACAGAGAACTTACTAAGTGTTAACAAATGAGATTGTTTTGATATAAAACAATGTGATACACCAGTTAAAGTTAATACAACTGTTTCAGCCCATTGTTTTGATGCAGTATCACGACTATGATGAATTAATAAACTATTTGGTCTATCGCCGACTTTTTCAACAGGTGCACTTTGATATAAATTATGCACCTTCGATAACAAAGGGAACAATATCTAAGAGAATGAGAGGGTAACAAGTAGAATAATAATATAAAACAGTCACATATGGTTTTCTGTACAAACGATAATAAATTTCATTAGTAAATTGGAATTCATAATGAAAATGTTGCAAAACGAGTAGTCGAATTATTGAACCATATCAGTGGGTGTGTATTGAGATAATTAGTGAAACAAAGAAACGAAAAATAGCGATCAATCCATTATGCACAGACTAGCAGATTGGGCCCTCGCAACTTACGTGACCAATAGTAGGACAAGGTAGATTACATGGCTCAGGATTGGTCAAAATGATGCACATGTAGTCAGTCTTTATCTCGAATGCGGATAATTTTCATTCTACAAAGTCATTCTTTGTTGTCGAATTACACTGTCCTTGCCTAATCTTTTCTACTCCATCTACTAATCCAGAACTTTCCTCATAATCTCAGATCGCTGCACTGGTATAAAATGGCCGAAGTATGTATGTACCAGCTTCTGCGTTGACCGTGACTGATTAATTATTCTAAAATCAATAAAGTCCTGACTCATATAAGAACCAGTTTGGTATCAACCTTACGCTAAATATACCGCAGTTTTTTTATCGAAGGTATAGTTATTTTACTCCAATAATAGCGGTTTTCTACTTTCGTATTCAGTGGAATATTTTATTGAGATAACAACACCAGTACCGGCATTCGATTTAAAAAAAAACATTGGAGGCCCAATACCCACCGAAGTGTTTCGTACACAAAATAAGCATGAATTCAATACTACGTTAAGGGATATGAAAATTTAGCAAATGCGATAAAAACGATATTGGTGGTTTTGTAATTGTATTTCGACACAAGACAATGGATTTCAAGAGCTTTTTAAGCCCTAACGCTTCAGGCTGGGTTATTTCGTTTACCACCCTACATGTGTTGTATGTAGTATAGGCTATAAGCTAAGCTATATTGCTATGTGGAGCTGAACGTTTCATATGAGACTGGAGGTTCGCTATTGATATTGTGGATTGTACGGCTTACTCTGGCAAGTTTTGCTATCTGTTCACATACAAAAGTTGTTTTGCTGGTTAACCGATTTCATTCATACTAGTAGCTGCTTTTCAGTGTTCTCAAGAGCCATTGTCATTAGGACATTGTAAGGCATACCATCATTGCTAACATTAATGAGTTTGACTGTCGTGTAAGCGGAATAGGTCAACGTTGGCATGTTCATGCTGCGCATAATTGATTAACGCAATCAATGATCGAAATAATTATACATATGATTTATATATGTATATGAATGGTCCACACCATAGGATCGTAGTGTTAAAGCCTATATAGTGTCTGGTTCTCTTATGAAGCGGGGTCCAGCAGTACCACTCGGGTTATAAAGTTTAAGCCTGGATGGTGTCTGGTTTTCCTGAAAGTGGGACTGAGCTGTATTGTTTGGGTTGTCACATGAAAATCTGTATGGTGTCCGATTCTCAAGAAAACCAATGTAAAATTACCCTAGCTCATAAAGGTATGTCATACTATATAACAATACTATGGGAGCGTAACAACCGAAAATCCTAAACAATACGGGTTTTTTAAGTTTTGAAAACTCATCAATCGTAAAAAAAGATCAAAAGTATGACAATTCATTAAACGAAAATCGACGAAAGATAAAAGCTACTCTAAAAAACAACAAATAATTTTATAAGCAGACAATTACAATGTTTAACTTCTGTTTTGTATGAATCGTTTAAAAAATAAATATTATCTGACTGGTCTATACACTTTATTTCAGCAAACATTTAACAGCAAATCAGACAAACAAATATGATCAGTTTGACTTATAAACACAGGACATTTGTATTCTTATCTACAATGAAATAAACCGTCTACAATAATCAATGAATGCTGCCTGATACACGAATTTCTTTGAGCGCATATGTGACTATGTGAGATTAAATTTCTGTAATCTATAAGGATAGTCACTGCTTCACGATAATGCAACAATATATTAAGAAGTATATGCTTGAGAAATTCTAGTTTGTAATTTGAATGTTGCGCTAATTTGTTCTAAAATTGTACATAGGCAGCACTGTAACAATGTGGAAGTGTTAATACGTGTATTGACAAAACAGCTGAAGGACTTTATTTTTTAGGACCCATCAAGATGCTTCGTAAAATAGAACGCGAGATGAGAAAAAATTATTCCTAAAAGTGATTTGATTCGATAAAACAAACACCTATATACATATAAACTAACTTTCCATAGCAAATTAGACCATGTATCTTCATCAAATTGTTCACTATGACATTCAATTGTATTAAATAATGTTTGACATGCAGATTTTCGAATTGCTGGTCTACGATCTAAGCACAAATCAGCCAATTTATGAAATACACAAATCCATAATTCTTTTAAATCAATTGAAGAATTAATTGAATCTGATACTACAAGTGGAATATTTTTTTGTTCCACAAAAAAATCAGCTAAATGAAGCTGAAACAAAAGCATACCACAACGTAAAGAGAGAAAATGATGAGACAAAGTTTTAGATAATAACTTTATAGAAACTATTGTAGTGAGGAAAAGTCTTCTTTTTAATAACTTTAATTAATAACGTTATTAAGTGATCATTTCTAATTTAATTCATATTTTTCCTGACAATGACCATCATTTATCCACTCGGAAAATTATATCGAAATATTTCATCTAATAGATATGCATTTGAACTAAAGTCTTTTATACATCATATGATATTGGATTAGTTTAATGATTTATTTATTAATACTGGTATCGAGGCTGGTAGGACGAAATAGAAATCCAATGATTGTTTAACTAAAAACATTTTGTGACAAAAATGAAATTTCCACAAACCTCTTATACTAATAATAATCATATGTTTACTAGTAACTAAATTCGAGAGGAAATTACATAATTATTGATGAAATGCCATAACCAGTGGAGTTCCACTATGTCGAGTGTAAGACAGTCAAATACTAATGGTATTGGAGGTCGGTTGATTAAAATCTTAGAATAGAAAGCTAGACATGTAAACGATTGGATTTTGACCCAGTGATCTGAAGGTTAAGCGCCGATTTGATGCCTAAAGTCCCAGGATATGATACCTGGTGGCGTGTTGGATGACCATTACCGTGTTCACAAACTGGAGCGAAACAGTTGTTTAATGTCCTTTAATTTTCAATAGTTGTGATGTAAGCTATTTATTAAATGATTTTTTTACTAATTAATATTAGCTTCACTTCCTATGAATTCCGCTTATATTACACATCTAGGGTAGTATAAAAAAAATATATTTATTACAATACGCTCCATGAAAATAACACCGTATAGCTCCTGTAAGCAAAATCTCTTAAAAAGTATACTTTACTTCTTAATACAAACTATGAATCCCATTTGATCACAGTTAGACAAAATACAGAAAATTTTGGTATATTTATAAGGAGTGGATACTTCAAATGCCCTGATACGTCCGAGGGTAGGAGTTCTTCTCGAAATACTCGCACATGGCTACGCATAAACAAAAATTGCTAGGGAGTTCCTACTCACTGCCTTCTCATGGCATTACTATTGTTTACGAAAATGAGATGACGAAAAGCGGATGTCCGGCGTTTTAACAGGGTTAGTGGACACGGAGAGTCCACCTACGGAAATTGCAAAACTCTGATTTTTAACCAATGGTGCACATGGTCTCCAGGTTCTTGCAGGAACAAATGATATATGAATCAATTATTTGTCACCGGCTACCATGGGACTGCATCTACTAGTGTTGCTCCACTGTCTTGCGGATCAAACCTTTAGGCTGAAGGCTCCGGGTGTAACTCCTTAAGAAAACCACCTGCTTCTGTCTGGACACCCGGACGTTATCACAGCCCACACACAAACCAAGTGACTTGTGTGGTGCATGTGTATTTGGTGCCCCTTTGTACCAATATTTATGTGTCCAAATAAATAAATAAAATAAAAAATAAATCAGATTACAGGCAGTTAGCATTATTTCAGTTGATCAACAGTGAAGTTTGTTTAAACCGTAATTTTTAAAATGGTTATTTAATCTCAGGAACCAGTAAAAGGACTCTGACCACCGGGAAAGAGAATGTTTAACAATGATTGAATACAAAAGGTGTAACACATTGAGGCCAACAACTAGGAGTTCACATTATACACAGATGATATGAATACGCTCAAAATAGTACACTGCTTTGAAAATCAATAAGGCAATGATAAAACTGGTTAGAAGCACATACAACAAGTATAGATACTGTATCGGAAAAAGTATTTCGTGTAAGTTCAAATTCAAGCCTTCACATTATTTTTCATAGAATTTGATGGTATAATACATCTAAACAAATAATTCACTCCATATAAAGTCATCTTTCATTAAAACTGTCTGCTAACTAAAAGATCAGTAGCATTATATTGTAAAATTTATACAAAACTCTAATCAACACATTGTTAGGCGACCATGCCTGAAACCTTTGACCTAAAGGTCTAAAACACAAAGCAGGGGATAGACGTTACGAGAGGCAGTGATCAACGATAAGTTCACGAGCCATTTGTTCTCTCACGATCCTGGAGCTCATGTGAACCATTGGTCTCGAATCAGGGTTTTCCAAATCCCTTAGATGGATCCGTTATATCCATCAATCAGGTTAAAACACCGGACATTTGCCTTTGTTCTCGCAATTTCGTAAACAACAGTGATGCCAAGAGAAGGCAGTGAGTAGGACTTCGCTGTCAGTGGATGTATACGTGTGGCCATGTGACAACGTCCCGAGAGGGGAACTGACTCTCCCCACCCTCGGCCGTACCAGCGTAATATAACATAAAGGCTGAAATTTATTCATATTGTTTCAAAAAGATAAATTAAGAAGTATTTCAAAAGAATAACACTTACTAACGACCCAATAGCTGATAAAGCAATATTTAAATCTTGTTTTTGGTGTCCAAAACTAGCTGCAGTTTCAACACATGCTAAATAGCAATCCGACGGTAAAGTGGATAAATAATCTGTAACAATCAATTTGAAGCATTTAAATGATGTCTGGATCAAGTCTATTCTGCATAGTTGATAAAGAAAATTGCACAAAAGCAGGGAAAACAATCATTAGTTAATGGCTAAAAATTCATTTGAAAAATCAATTACTAAGTAAAGTTGAATCATAACTAGTAGTGGGATTCAAGCGGAATATATTAGGTCGATATATATAGACAGCTATCACCTGAATATATATAAGTACATCACATAATCATTAAATAATTATTAACTATATTATATAATCTCTTTTATTAATGAAATTTTAATTCAATGTTTCTGTTCTTCAGTGTGTTATATTATTCGGTATAATATTAATTTATTTGAGTGTGATGTTTATTCAAGATAACATATTCTTGTATTAAATTAACATGAACTATGCACAACATGACAAGCATCATATGGTTTGTCCTAACTCTAAGTAATTTTCATATATGTGATTTCATTCTAATTAATAGTCAAAATGGGTTTACAATCAACATATAAATGAGTGTATTTTCTACTAAAGTCGTCGTCATGCTTTGGGGCTAATAAATTTTCATTTGTACTAGTCTTGATGTTCTCACTGTGTCGTGGGAGTTGCAGTGCTTCCTCGTTCTACAAATATAAGTAATAAGCGATTCATACATAACAATTACCGACACAGTCATAAAAATTGACTACCAGTCATAACAAGTTGTAATGTAATTATTTACATTGTGCAACCAGAAATTCCGCTGTATTTTTGGGTTCAAATCCCACAAAAAATATCCATTCAATTGTAGATACAATATACTGATGAGTGTCGACTATTGTGTGAACTAAGTTCAATACCGATAGCTTCAATCCAACTTATAAAATAGTAAAGAATAATCTGATTATTACACAAATAGATAATAGATGGAACTCGTACACTGACATTTTGATGAAAGAGTAATTAATGTTCATAACAGTACAATGCAAAATACGAATGAAAACAACAACAATGATTATAGTGATAATAAATCAACTACTTACTTGTAACTTTCTCTTATGACTCCAATAATTTTAATTAATCTAAGCCAACTGTATCGTACTTGTTCACCCCAACAGTGTAATAATTGTTGAACACATTTTAATTGTTCTTCTCGTACATCATCATATATAATGCGATCAGATAAATCCGTTAATGGATCAAGTACTTGAATATTTAATGCCTTAAGTTTTTTTCGAGAAAAAACAAACGGTAAGAGTGGATTTAATAAGACAAGTATACAAATAATAATATTATTCATAAGTTGTTTCTATAAGTAAGTAGAGGTTCATGCATTTTGTGCAGATACATTTACAATAATGTAAAAAACTAAATGCATTAGTAAATTGATCATATAACAATAGACGAAAGACATATGTAAATGAAAATAAATCCAGTATTATGGATTAAATAAGCACAACTCCAAAAGACAACCTCAAAACTTAGTATATTAACATGAAAAGGTATTTGTTATTTTTGTTACAGAACGCTTTTAGTTAAATTATTTAGATCTTCTTAAATGGTACAAATTTATTACAATTCGATAAGAAATTAATTTCCATTAGCGTGACATGTAGATAATTTCATATTCTGCTTTGCCGAGGCAATTGCCTTTAGGTACTTTCGACCAGATCTTTGTACATATAAAGAAATTATGATAAACCCCTTATTGTTGCCGTAAAAAAGTGATGTAGTATTGTCTATTACATGACTTAACCACTAGACCACTGAGCCGGCATCCAACGGTGTTAATCCCGCGGGGTGCGGGATCGTGGATGCGCACTGCTGAGGAGTTCCGTACTAGGACGAAACGGCCGTCCAGTGCTTCCTGGTTTAACATGGTGTTCTGGCTTCATTGACTCATAATTTCAACTTGTGAAATTTCCGAAAATCTCCACAAAACCCATTCTGATATTACATGACTTATTATTTTATTTTAGATTTTTAACATCACGCTGGCATTCACTAAATATGATAATTTAGTTTTTCGTATCAATTATGTGGCTTGATTTTCAACTAACTTATTAGTTGAAAAATTAGAAAATCGTCAGTTGGACAATATTCATTTTTATAGTTCTAAAATACTCAGATATAAACGAAGATAAGTAAAATTACTGACCCATCAAGCTTAAATGATTAACTTCGAAAAACATGTGGACGAGGTAAAAATAAAACCATTGAGTGTTCTGAAGAAAATACCTTTACAGTTCAAAAATAACACTGCCAGTGATATACTAGCACAAAAGTAAATAAAAGCTGCTAACAAAACCTTCAGTGTAACCGAAATGAGTGCGGTTGTTAGACCAATAATGAAAACCATAAATAAAAATAGACTATTTGAAGTCGCCATATAAATTTATGTTCATCAGTGTATAATGTTAAATGAGTTATATTGGGTGTACAATGACGCACGTTTATCACTATATCGTCAAACATCGTTTCGCCTGATTGAGCAAAGGAGAGTTAAGGGTGATAAAGGCTGTAATTATCGGTCACTTGGTGCACACATAGGACATCAAACTGACTCAAATAAAGCCTTTAAAGTTCTCCAAATTATTCCATCGAATATACTACATAGTTTACGGGTCCACACATCTAAAACTATAATAATTCACATTTAGAAACTTGACCATCGTACTCAGAAGACGATTGCACAACTTTTTTTTCTATCTTATTCACTGATAAAGGTTAAAGAAAAGTGGGCTATTAAAGAACATTGGTTTACTCCTATTTCTCAAACGTTTTATAGATTTCCTTTACTTTTGTGTTCCCACCCAACTTTGACATTCATCTCTTTTTCTTACCTAACTATTCACGCACCAACTTTTGTCAAAATATTTTGTTAGTTCACTCACCAAATGTGTATCTTGGCAACTAGTGAATAACCGCCTGTTCCTCTTACTTCTTTGAACCCAGGACCTTCAGTCTCACGTATGAATGCTTAACCTTTAAACCACTGAGGCGGCATCCAACCCTGTTAATGCCTAACTTTAATCGACTTATGATCTAGCGTAACTATTTATCCATTGTTTGAGGTGGATTGCACTCCAACGATCACGGACACTCACAAGAACTCCAGGAGATTCATCTTGAAACTAGTCACTATTGAGCATTGCTGAGGAGTCCCATACTAGGACGAAGCGGCCATCTAGTGCTTCCAGGTTTTCAATGGTGGTCTAGCTCAGATCGACTCGTGAATTCAGTTGTGAAAATATTACAATCTACACAAGTCCCAATACTGATAACGTACAGTTGAGTGAAGCCATGACAAAAAAACAAACGCTCTCTTCTTTAAAATGTTATTTCATTCACTTCGACACTTGATTGACATTTATAACATCGCCCCCATCTTATCTACTAAATCATTCAGTAGTTTATTTTTCTACTAATTTTCATTTTAATTCCGTACTGTTTCAAACTGAGCTTCATTAACTAGAGTACAGAAAAACGACAATGTTTTTAAAGGAAAAAGTAATAATATTGCTAATTGCAATACGAATTCGTTGTTAGTCAATGAGAAATTTCGAAATATAATGAATTCATACTACTCTGTAAATAGTGTTGTTGTTGTTTCTTTTTCTTTCGTTTTTTTAGATTCAAACTGTTCTGAAACTAACAATTTAATTATTGATAATGTTGTGTTCATACATTTTTCAAATATCGTAACAACAAGTTGCACAACTGTACACTACTCATTATTATTATTTCATAATTAAAATTAGGTGGATCTTTCTATTCAACAGAATATATTATGAAGAATGAATATTGAACAAGAAAACTACCTTATATATAAAATGCAAATATCCAATTTAAATCGACTTGAATACACTTGAAATGATTAAAATCAAAACAAGAATAAAATATAAACTGAGTATAAACAAAAACATTGATTAATACATAGTTATTTCTTTTTATATAGCTATTTCATCATTATTTGAGATGTTACATAATACAGTTCAACGAGTATAACATAACTGAATGTGTTTTTTTTTGTTCTAATACCTACACTAATTTGATTCATTTATTATTACATTGATTGTTAAATTTTCCCATCAATTAGAGATGATACAGACTTGTTTAATTACTTTACACTGACAATCATTTAAACACTTAAAGAACAAATTGTTAAAGAATGACATTAATTTTGTTCGGATTTCTATGAGATTTCAATTACTTTCATCTTCGTATAAAATATTTTACATTTAAATGTTTGTTCTCTTTCTACAAATTGAATTACTTTACGAAACAATGTACAAATTTACAAGATAATTTAGACTTATGCTACGTTGATTTCTGAAGAATTCGAAAAAAAAACAATAAAATATTCAAAGATCTCGTATTCAAAGAGAATGGTTTATTTAACAACAAAAATTTTATATCGTTACTTTTCAAGTAATCCCTCTTAGGAAAAGTAAGATAATTATGAATGAAAGAAACTAACCTAAAAACAGACTAACAGTTAACTGAACAGAAAAACAAGTGAATAACTACTATTTCTAGTAAACTAAATAAATTAGTTATACTGACAGACAGTGAACAAACACTACTATTGTGTAAACAATAGTTAAAGAAACAAAGACGTATAATGACAGTGATGAAATGCGTTCGCACTAAAGTGAAGAAATATGAATAATACAAGAGTTGGAAACAAAAATACTGCCCATTTCTGTGTTATATCTTGTCAACACACTGTATAAGATCTTTCATGGTTGATATTATGAAGTGATTTTGATTAGAGAATCAGTGAAAATAAAGAAGCACTGAATAGCTGTTTTATCCTAGTATGGAACTATTCAGCAGTGGATATCTATAACCCCATTAGGATTCAAGCCCAGTACTTTCAGGTGTTATGGAGAACACTTGTTCTCTACACCACCTAATTGGGTGAATTCAATAAAATAGTGATATTGCACAGCCATCCCCTAATGGTATTCTTAGATAACTCAGTCAGTAACAACGTAGAACTTCGTACGTACGTACATTAGTTCGACTTGCCACACCACATTAGCACAGAGATGCAGTTGTCGATGGTAAGAATATAAGTAGTAATCAGAAAGATTAGGGTTTGGAGATGTTATTTAAAGAGTATAACCCAGTGAAATAAATTTGGGGAGAGAAAAAGAGACAAGGAGGAGTCAGAAGATTAAAATTTGAGAGAACACAAAGAGTGTATGCACCTGCGCCATTGCAAACGATTTTGAGCCATGTCATTCATTTGACATCACCGTGTCAAAACAAAGAACCAACTCGATTCACACTTCGTGTATCTGGACGCCAAGATGCTGCTTCTCGTGGACACACCGGTGTAGGTATAGCATTGAGTCCTAGAGCAGAACTAGCTCTCTTAAACTGGATCCCAGTAGACAGTTGTTTGTGCGCTGTCCGACTAAACGGAACAATAAGGACTCGGAAAGATAGGGACACTCGTCGTTGCCTCTTCGTCGTGTCTGCCTATTCTCCCACTGACTGCAGCTCAGATGATGTAAAAGATGAGTTTTACAGAAAGCTTTCTTAGATAACTGTCTCGCATTCGACACGATTGACTTTTACTTGTCACGACTTCTCACTAGAACTCTGTCAATAAACAACCTTTAGAAAGCAGTCACTAGTGAATACATAGTTATAATCACCGTAGAGAATTTTTGCAGATTGTTGTATAATATTCTCCTACCTTTATTTCTTTTTCAAATACTTTCGGATCACATTTTTATTACTGCACAGATAATTGTCAGTGGTTAATTCAATCACAACGTTAACACGTACTGATTTTGGGTAGATACAAAAACCTACATGCACAAGATATAATAGATAAGACAAACAATAGAGTTTAGCTTATTGATACATCAACATGTAACACATAAACCTTTTCTAGAAGTAACCATTCGCTAAACATGATGAAAGTTGAATTTTGTGCGATCTGAAAACCTGTTTCTGTATTCCAGTAACAAATTGCTAGTCAACAATGATTAATATCAAATAAAATTGGTGACACACTATATTCTATCCAAAATATATGAACGAGGGATGCGAAAGCTATAATAATAGTAAAAATAATAATAGAAATATTAGTGGTAACCTATATATATAAATAGTTTGATTCTAGTGAATACTTACTTCATTTTGCCAAAAAGGAGGATTCTGTGGAGCAGCAATTGCTTGTATGATTAAACTGGTCAAACAGCTTGAAGATAGCTGACGGAGAGTGGCATGAGTGCAATTACACACCTAGATATAATTATGTAAAAATTAAGAAGAAATCATTCATACACTAGAAAGAAACATGGTCATGCTCAACAATATGGTATGGCACGCTTCTACGTGATGAGAAATATTTTCCAAAAAAGTGTGTTTTTTTATCGCTTGGAACAGGAGATTCATTAGTAACTGACAGGTGACTATACACGAAAAATAGGAATAGTTTTGCCAAATAAACTTCTTTGTGAGGTACAGACTCAAGTACTCAACTTTGCATCACACCACGATGGCTCAAGTCTCAATTGATAAAGCTTCATGAGAACGTGCTACTCTGAAACTGAAAGTTGAATACTTTGATTACCGTCTTAGTTCATGTTACGAAGGATAACTGGTCTTAAATAATATTTCAGTATAATTTGAAAAATTTTGGAAAGGTGGACTAGCGGTTAAGGCATATGAGTTTCCAATAACTATCGACTTACTTTGATTCGGACATTTGGGTATCCTACAAGTAAAACATGTAGCTCAGATCTGAGTGGAAGACCCATACTTAATAAGTTACATTAAATAAATAGTATTCAATTGCACAAGATATGTGAGTGTTGTTCTAACCATATGTAACATAAAATCTTATACACAGAATGGCTTAAACCAAGCTGTTTCTGAAAAATTACTAAAACATAGCAAATACAAACAATTAGTTAATTAATATAAAAAAGATTACATTTGTTGCTATCTACTGATTTGAACTTATTACCAGTTACCGATGTAAACATTTTTTATAAATGAGATAAAATGATGAATATGAAATTGAGTTTCCTGTGTTGACTATGCCTTGTAGAATAAACTATGCAATCGACATGTCTTGCCTTTTCTCAAGCTATTCTGGTAGATGCACTTGAATGCAAAGATGACAAAGATCCATAGTTTAATAGGAGCAAGTAGAATGGTAACTGTTTATCGAATCGACTAAACGTAAAGACCTGTCGCTGGTAAGAAGCAGGGATAGATCATTTTTTGTCAGATCCGGGTCGATTGAGATGAGTAAGGCTGCAAAATCGGTAGGAATCTTTCAGAATACACCAAAATTCACAGTCAGTACTTAAAATGACCTCACCAACATGTATCCAACAACACATTTTCAGAGTAACAGAGAGCTACACAAACAAAGAAAAGGTACTCCAACGTGATCACAGGCACCCGGATTGATTGTAAACTTAGTTATGTTGTAGTTTTACGAATGATTAAACTGATTTGAATAGGATATCCCGACTACACATATGTCATAACTAAAAAGAATTAACTAGAATTACTTCAAATTCTATTAACAGCGTGTCTGACACTATGAAATTCACATTGGAAAAAGGATCAGTTAACAAACTACCATTTTTGAACATACTGATCACCGGAATTAATACTGTAAAACTTGAAACTCATGTATAACACAAATGAACTCATACGATCAAATATACAATTACAGAAGCACAAGTTCCATAACTCGCAAATCAAGCTGTATACAAGGAATGAAGACATATCTTAGACAAAGAAGGTTTAGATATTAAGGGAACAAAAGAAAATATTTGAATACACATAGGAAAATATATCATAAATCACATAGATTTTTGTGAAATAAGAAAACAGGAATTTTACCGTACTGATAACTGACATTTTATAATATCAAAGCAGAACTAATAAATATAAGAACAACAATTAGCAAACATATGATTGACATCTATCAGTTAAATTCATAATTTATCATGAAAAGAAATTAGACCGAGTTATCAATGAGAGATATTTGATATGAGCTTTGGTTAAATGAAAAAACTTTTAATGAATAAAAGCAAACAGAATAATTATAAAAAATAGCAAGAAAGTCCAATCCTATGTCCACATGGCACGACTTTAATTGAAATACGATACATACTCGTTCAATGCATTATAGCTTTTCTCTCTAAAGCTAAACGCGCCAACCCATAGACCATAATGTACAATAACCAATCAGAAGAAAGAATCTAACCAACCAATCGCGAAACAACAGAATAGTGATCTGCAAGTCTATATTCACATATTAATAAACCGATTTATGTCATAACGATTGAAGAATAAAGACAGAGGTATGAGTGTCAGGAATATTTTGATAATTAAAATATAATTCGTCGAGTAAAAAGGACAGTACAAATATCTACTGAATGACGACATGAATTATACTAGTGACAATTATGAAAAATATCATTTATTACATAATCTTATCGGTAGTAATATTTCATTTCATTCTTCTTTTATATCAATAACAACACCATCAACATCGTCAAGATCATTATATACTACCAATTCTTCATCTACAGTATCCACATCAAATGGATGTCCAATAATACCTAGTTTAAAGCAATTTGAAATTTTCTATTCAACAATACACGCTTATTTAGCTTGTACAGTGTGCTTATTCGGCACAGGAACAAATCTTTTAAATTCCATTATATTAACGCAAGAACAAATGCGTAATCCAACAAATGCTTTATTAACTGGTGTAGCAATTGTAGACAGTTTTACAATGTTAGCATACAGTCTACAAGTTATCTATTTACATTTTCTTACATCACCATACCCAGACAAATATCCTCATAGTCAATTAGCTGTTTACTTAATATTAATAAATCATGCAATCAGTATAGGCAGTCATACAATATCAACATGTTTATTAGTTCAATTGGCAGCATTTCGTTGTTGGGTATTATATTCAAGAAAATTAAAATATCTGTTAAGTTTACATCATCATTTGGCATGGATTATGATTAGTTCACATAGACGGTTTATTATTTATTGTTATATTAGTGCAGGAATTATAGGATGTTTGTTATGTATGCCAACATTTATTTTATATCAATGTGAATTAATTGATGTGGTGAATTCATCAATAACATTGGAGACAAAGGAATATGACAAACGATTAGATAATACCAATAACAATTTTAATGATGATGATAATAATAGCAATATTAAAATAATAAACGTCGAAGCAAACATTACCATTAATAATAATAGTACCATTACTAACCAGTATTTCTATTGGTTCAAGCTATATCCTAATAGTCAATTATTGGAACGTGTTCATTTTATTTTATATGGATGTTTTGTAAAACTTTTAGCATCGATACTTATTGTTATATTCACTGTATTAATATTAATGGTATTACATGATGCAAGGCAACGATATCGGAAATTGCAGACATTACCAATTGAAATAAAGTTGGATAATAGTAATATAGGAAATACTAGTAATAATGTCATATTTACAAGAAAAATATCAGCTAATTTTTTACGTCCAATCACATATAACAATCCTTCGAATAGTATTGTAATGACAAGAAACTCGGATCTTAACAATAGTGATTATATCAATGATTTAAGAATAAAAAGTCATCAGCATCGAATAAATACTAATATTACTAATAATAATATTGATCTGTTGTCAACAGTACCAACAACCACTAGAAATCCATTATTCTTACAAATATCTTCTTTAACTCCAAGTAATGAATTAAGAAACGACTTGAATAATAGTAATAGTAGAAAAAATAATAATCCAATGACAAAACCTAATCGTCGTCATTCAAGTCGTCTTCTTCAAAAATCCCGTGAAAGTCAACATGTTACAATTATGCTTATTATAGTTGTAATAAGTTTTGTTATAACTGAAGCACCACAAGGTGTATTCAATACTCTTGTTGCAATTAAAGGTGAATGTTTTCTACATACAATTTATTTACCATTAGGTGATTTATTAGATTTATTAGTTTTATTAAATTCTTCAATTAATTTTATTCTCTATTGTGCAATGTCACAAGTGTTTCGTGTAAAGTTTGTTAATTTATTAAAGAAATTATTACTGTTCACATTGTGATGATTGTTTATTGACGCAATTCTAAACAATTCATTATGAATGTTAAGAATTTATCCGTTGTATAATTGTGAATATTACGTAATAATGAGGATAACTATGATAATAATAATAATAATAATAATAATAATAATAATAATAATAATAATAATAATAATAATAATAATGAAGATAATCACTACTGAAGAATTCAATAATGATGAAACTAAAAAAAATTCCAATGAAATCCTTCATGTTTAGATTAAGTGAATATGTTACATAATGTATACATTGAATTAAGTGAAATAAAAACAAATAACCATCGGAAAAATTTGAAAAAGTAATGTAACGAACAATACAATTAATTGTATGAACATGATACACCATAATCATGAATAAACGCATAAACACTTTGCTTATTTTTTAAAGGCTATCATGTACAATCTTTATCCATCATTGTTAGTTTTGGCATTCAATGATTGTGCGTTGATTTATTATATACAATTATTATTGCTAATAAAAGCCTTTATTTATTAATATTATATATATATATATATATATATATATATATATATATATATATATATGTTATATATTTCGCGAACCTATCAGTTGAATTCATTACGTAAGATACAATCGAAACAAAATTAACCTTACTGCTAATTCGCAACTAGTAAATGTATCGGGTTTTTTTTTCGTTTATAGTATACACAAGTTTGAGATTGTTATTATGAATAGTTAGTAATACATAAATTAGCTTATAACAAATGGAATCGTGATTTTAACTGTGAAAATACTACAACCTCCACAAATCCCCATACTGATAACAATCATGTTCAACATGTAACTCCTGGAGTTCTAGTGAGAAGCTGTGACCAGTGGAGTTCAATCCATGTTGAATGTGAGAACGTTATTCGAAAGTACTAGATTCCAGTCCTGTGTGTGGGACTGTAGACGTGTACTGATGTGGAGTCCTATACTAGGAAGAAACGACTGACCAGTTATTCCATGTTTTTAATGGTGGTCTAAGATCAACTCGTGATTTAAAGTGCGGAAATTATAACACATTATTCCTTAAAACTTTAGACTCCTTGATTTATGTACTTTATATTAAAAATTGCTCGATTTATTTAGAAGTAATTTTTGTGATCAAACTCAATAGGTCTAAACATTTATTTTAAGTTCATAAGGATGCTTATAAAATGGAAATTTTTATATTCTGAATAATATGTAGAGATACAAAATAATTTCATTTCAAAATAATGGACTGACTTACAGTTAACAGTTGATTTGATATAATTTTCCACCATAAATCCAATCGATGCACGTTAACTAATCCAATCTCTGTTAGTTTAGCAATAGGAAATTGACTTGGTTCCTAATAAAAAAAAAAACAAATAATTGTGTAAACACGATACACGAGATATGATGATATAAGTAAATATAGCAATAAACAAAGATGGTATCATTGAAATTTCCTAAGGAACACAAACATTTGTACTCATTCATCTATTCAATATACAACAAATTCAGTTGTAACTAACAACGTAAAATCCGAACTAATAATCTGTAACATATTCTTGACCTAATTTGTATAGAAATCCATGACAATATAATTGAGATATTACAGCTTGTATCATAGGATAGTAATAGTTTACGATAAACGATTTCATCTTATCATAAATTAAATTTTAGTTAAACTTAATTAACTATCACTCTATTCAAAAGAATATATATATATATTAGGTTATAATTTACTATAAGCTAAGCTGACTAACCAATATGTAGGATTAAAATGTACTTAACTTCATCAGCAGATTAAAAATCAACCCATTATGAAGGATTTCCAGTTATTATTGAATAAAATGCTGATAAAATAAATGAGGAAAAAGTTGATTTGTCAGAAAATTAAAACAACTAACAAACACCATTTGGTCACTTTCTAACGTGAAACATAAGTAGGTAGGTGTCCTTTACACATAATTATATCCAGGTATTTGTTTATCAATGATACCAATGAAGATAGCTATTTAGTTTCTTCATTTTCATTGAATTTTTGTGTCAAATGATTTATAATAATTTTAAGTTTTTTCTACAAACAAAATCAATGATGATCCAATCGAAACAGACTAGTAATAAGTGGGCAAAAGTAGTAAAAATGTGAGTGAGCCCATAATTACTCAAACAATTAAAACGAAACGAATATATATGATAATAAGATTATTTATGAAGAAAACCATTACTGATTATTTAAGGCTAAAGTTGTAAACAGTGAAATAGGGATGATACTTATTTAAAGGAGGAAATATACGCGCACGATATATTTCGAACAATTAGAGAAAATAACTATTATAAAACAGAGAGAAAGTAATGCGAAAAGAAAGGAATTTCGATATAATTACCCTTATAGTATGAATGTATTATGCATTTACGAAGTACAGGTTTATGAACTCGGCGTTCGGATACATTGTTAGTTAGTTAGTTATTGTCAACAATCCAGGCTAAAATAACAACCATCCTCACAGATCAAATGTAATACTGAAAACAAAATAAATATCAATATGTATGTGTCAAAAATTAAACCTTAACTTATCGAATAACGGGGGGGGAGTGAAAAGTCAATATTTTTCTAGAAAATAAAAAGTGACATATGAACTTACTCGATTGTTTTTCACTGCTTCTAATGCATCTGATGAAAGACGACAAAGTGCTGAGATAAAACTGTGTAGAGCATCTACACTCAAATCGCTTTTTGTACGTATTGTAAGGGATTGATAATGTACAAAATATTGGAGAAAGAGAAAAGTGCAAAATAAGTATAATGATATAAAATTGAGCATTTATTCCATTAAACTGGTTAAATTTCGATACATTTCACTAAAATTAAAATCTAGTCACCAAGTTTATAGATCGTGTTACTGGAGAGTGGTATGACTGTAATAAAGTACGTGTGCACAGGACGAAAATAATTTATACAATGTAAATCAGATAGTAAATGAAATAATATTGAGTAAAATGTTTTCTTGAATATGAGCACGGTACGTTTTGTTTGTTGTAATTTGAAAGTTAGAAGCAAGAGAAGAATGATGCCTTGAATGACAACAATAACACAGACACACATAAATACTATCCGTTAGGTTACTTTAGATAGAGTGGTAGTTTTCTGATGACATATTATACCAAAAAAGATTACCTAACATAGTACGAAGGACTATTTAAACTTGGTTTAATTTAATTTGTTTATTTATTCTCTGAAGAAGTGGCTTACACTGAGTCAAGAAACGTCAGAAAATTTAAAAGTTTGATTTTTCCACTAATTAGGATATTACAAGTATATTACTTTTATCAATAACCTACCGAATACTCAATTTAGTTGAAATAATCAAGTCAAACATTGGTAATGACACCTATGACATCTTTACTATATAATTTGACAATGCTTATTAAATTAGTGGTTTAGTGAAAGTTACACTGATACCTTCATTGGGCTAAATAAAAATAGCTTCTAGAGAGAGAGAGACTGATTGAAACATGAATTCAAACTGTAATACAACTTGTTTACAAAGCAAAAATTCATGTACTCATCTATGAACAACACTTAATGAATATAAACCATAAATACTGTCTGGTTGCGCAAATAGAAGTATATATGATGGTGTTCAAACCTGAGATCGAATAGTTAAAAATAAACTATTAAATGTAAATCAATAAACTTAGGACATTTTTTACACTAATGACTAAATTAAACTAAGTAACAAACAACAATACGCAATAGAATATTGTAAGATTTATAAGTACTTCACTACTATAAACGTTTAAAACCTATTTATATAATTAATGTTTACGGTAACGTAGAACAATTAATACTTTTAAACAATCTGACTGTTTACAAGAATAAATAAAGAAAATATTAAATTATGTATGTACTCGATATCTGCCCCCCCCCCCAGAAAAATCATTCAGATTAGTATACAAAAAAAGGGTAATATTTTCAGAATAAATTTAATTTACTTTATAATTCTGAAGATATCGAAATAAATTAACCAGTTTTTATTAGCTTAAAGATGAATTCATCATTGAATCTCAATTCATTATAGACTGAAGTTGATCATATGAGAAGGATAACAATGAAACATTTTGAGTTTAATTTTAATTTAAATCACGACACTAATCAATATGATGTATATATGTATAAAGGATATTTATTTATTTTAACACATAGATATTGGTACAAGGAGGCACCAAATACATATGCGCCACACAAATCTCATTCGATGTGTGAGGGCTGTGATACTGCCCGGGTGCCCAAACCGAAGCAGGTGTATAAAGGATATAGAGATTAGTTATCTTAAGTAACAACATCATTAAAGTAACAATACCAATAATAATGGCTGAATATCATTGAGAAGTAAACTAACTCCAACTATCCCTATCATACAATATTTTCTCTTTTTTTACAGTAAAAGAGACAAGAGAAAAGAAGAAAAGAATCATCTAGAGGAAATAGAAATTAAGAAAAATTGAAAAATGAATTAGATGAATAAAAGCTAAAATTATTTAACGATTTAAATGGTAAAAATAATGAAATACATTATTATTATTATTATTTGGTTCATTTCCTACATTAAATCATTGTCACAATAAACATTTATAGATGACACATATTTATTGTTTGAACGGTAAATATAGTTGGATACAAACTGAAAATATGGTTTTAACTCGATTGTTTTTTTTCGTAAGTTAAATTTTATAAGGTAAGGTTAAATAGTATTGTTAGTCGATTGTTACAGTGATTTTAAGGATTACTATCGTATATTAGACAAAAAGGCTTGAAATAAATAACCTACAACTCAAGTAATGTTAAAAGTAACTACTTACCTGGACTGAATAAAAATTTGTGTAAGCATTGATGATAATGATGTTAATTCAGATGTCACTGAGAAAAGTGTTGTCATAGAGATATTTTGTGTAGGAACTTGATTATTATTAGTAGTAATAGTAGTAGCAACACCAGTAGTAATATTAGTACTGGTAGTTCCAGTATCAGCATTTTCATTTATTGTATCACTTGATGAATTAACATTTTCCTTTGTTGTATGAGTTGTGCATGATTCTTGAACAGGTTTGAAAAATAATTTAGCCGATGGTTCAATTTTCAAGTTCAACATCCAAACTAAATGCTGTAAATTTTAATTTAAACGAGATATCAGTCAAGGGGGAAACTACGAGAACGATATATATATATATATATATATATATATATATATATATATATATATATATATAGAGAGAGAGAGAGAGAGAGAGAAAAGAAAGAATACGACTTAGTGTTTAAAATACTTGGTGTCAACAATTAGGCTGCTCGTGAAAACCTCGTAAGACCTATTTCGGTTTGGGTGGTTAATTAGTATCGCCAAAAACGCAAACATCTAAAATATGACTTAAAATATATGAACCTGAAATTAGTTACGGACTTCGATTGTATATTAAAGCGGTGAGAAATTTTACACATTGATAAGTCATTCATGAGATTCATTTAAATTTACCTATTAAGTTTTTCGTAACAGTAATGAACAATCCTCAAGTTATATGTCAAAACATTATCACTCTAATTTAGTCTAAATCAGAAATTAAGGGTTAAAATTTGTGGGAAATAGAAATTTATTGTTATGATTTGAAGTCCATTGACACTGGATACTACCCAACCTGGCTCCTTTTGAGGTGAAAATTACAACAAGATATATATCCAATACAAAAAAGAATTAATTGGTGCTAAAACTTCATAGAATAATAAAACTCCGCAACCAAGTATAATTTGACGTACATGACTGCACATATTGAAGTGAATGAAACAAGCTACAAGTTATAATCCGAATGTTTGAATACTCTAACCATTTAATTATTGGTTCAAGTTTCAAACTTATTTTTCGACGACGGAAGTTAATTTTTTCTAACGAACTAATTTAACCATCCCATGAATTAAAAAACATCAAGTCGAACTATAACAAATGAACAAGATAAATTATTCAGGAATAATCATTAAGAAATTAAAAAAAACGGATGATCCGTCTATAATCGGACAGAATCAATCTAAGAATTACTCTGAAAACTGATAATCAAGAAACAAAATGGTCATAAGAATAACGAACTGTTAAAACAATGTTATTTCAGCGCTACTACTAGTAATGAATAATAGTAGATAGTTGAATTCATGAGTCGATTAAAACTAGATCACCATTGAAAGTCTAAAAGTATTGGACGGCCGTTTCGCCCTAGTAAGGGACTCCTCAGCAGTGCACATTCATGATCCCGCGCATGGGATTCGAACCTAGGAACTTGGGGACGGCGCACGATCGCTTAACCTCTAGACCACTGAGCCAGCATCTAACAGTGTTAATGTCTAACTTCAACTAATTCACTACATTGCGCGACCGTCCACCATTGTCCAGTGCTTCCAGGTTTTCCATGGTGGTCTACCTGAAATCGACTCATGAACTTAACTATTAAATTAATACAATCTCCACAAACTCCCAATCTGATAATAGCAGATAGTTTAAAGACTACAAAAAAACATCATTTTATGAGGGAACATGATTAATGATGTGTTTCATGAAATATTTATTTTAAGCAATTAATGCAAGAAAAATCCTTAATATTGACATGTACACACATATTCCAGAGAATGTTTGTTAATGACCGATGATCAGGGATAATGTATAGATGATGGTAAATTATTAACTAAACATTGAAATCTTCTACAACCGTCAGAAAAAATCCTGATGATTTTAAAAGTAAAAATTAACTTTTGTATTAAATTAAGGAATAAAACAAACTGTCATTTATTTAAATTTGGAATAGACATTCAGATTAAATCTTCGCATCAATTAACAGTAAAATCGTGAAATAAACTATTGAGACGCATATATCATTCTGGTACGTACTTCACAGATAATCCATTTTCTAACTGTCAATTGCAGTTCACAAAGAAAAAATACAATACACAGGAATTTACGTGCAATTCAATACAGTCTATTCATCATTATGTTAGAAATGAAAGGAAAGAAATCGCAGTTATCGTCATGTCTTTTTGAATTCTGCATCAAGTCACTGCTTATAATTTGTCGCATCTCTCAAAAGTAATTTTCTTGAATGTATTAAAAAGAGGTTTTTTTACTTTATTAAGTGTAATATTCCATCATCATTGACAATCATAACAATAAAACTCATGGATATTTATTTTCCTGAACACATAAATATTGGTACAAAGGGGCACTGAATGAATATGCGCCACACAAGTCACTTGATTTGTGTGTGGGCTGTGATAATGTCCGGGTGTCCAAACAGAAGCAAGTGGTTTTCTTAAGGAGTCGCACACGGAGCCTTCAGCCTAAAGGTTTGATCCGCAAGACAGTGGAGCAACACTAGTAGATGCAGTCCCATGGTAGCCGGTGACAAATAATTGATTCATATACCATTTGTTCCTGCAAGAACCTGGAGACCATGTGCACCATTGGTTAAAAATCAGGGTTTTCCAACTTCCGTAGGTGGACTCTCCGCGTCCACTGACCCGGTTAAAACGCTGGACATTTGCTTTCCGTTGTCTCGATTTCGTAAACAAGGAATTGAGTCAGTCAGTCAGTGGTTATTTATGCGTGGCCATGTGAGAGTATTTCGAGAAAGAGCTGACTCTCTCCACCCTCGGTCGTACCAGGGTATTTGAGGGCTAAGATTAGTGTCAGCAGTGGCATTCGAACCCACGCTCACAGAGTGGACCGCTATCTGAACGCCTTGGACCGCTCGGCCATCCTGACCATAAACGGGATGTCTCTGCCAGGATGGATAACAGATACTACAATTATCATTATTAGTATTATTATTAATGACTGAAAGATCAAACTGTTATCAAAAAGCAAACAAGCACACATCAGTCAGTTAAAATGATAAAAAACTTTCATGTGTTTAAAACTAGAAATTAAGATTAGTTGTATTAATCAAAGCAGTCATAGACGATGTGTAACTTGACACAAATGTTAAGATTACTACAAATCATGCCGGTGGCACATGGAAAGAGTTAATAAATGTGACGAAAACTAAAGAAAAGGCAACTAATATCAACCGTATTAAAAAACATAAAATAAAAAATATTTTTTCAAAACGAACGAATGATATGAAAAAAAGGGAAATAATCAAAAATATATGAAATTTTAGCATTCGAGTCAGATAAGTAATGGACGGAATTTTGATAATGAGACTAATTTTCAAAAAGACAAATTAACGATATCAACAATAGATTACGAACTTTGCATACAAACCAACCTAAAGGTTTATATGTGAGGCGTAGTTCAGTCAAATGACAAATGAATTAATCGACTAACTTTGTATTAATTAATGTGTCTTTAGTTTTCTTTCAGCCAAGGAAGTGACTAAGCATGCACAATACATGTCCCTAGTCAATGAATGTTTAGAGCTTATATCTAGGATCCTAAACTTAACCTCAGCACCGAAAACAAGTAATGTTTTAAAGTCTACTGTGATCAAATAATTGTAACTTACACAACACCTCTACCTTCATTGCCCGAATTTCACAGTTTAAAATTATTTACAAAGAACCTATATGCTGTGTAAATAAACAATGAACACGTAGAATACAACATAGTGTACACAAATACTGTGAATACTGATGATAAGTCTACTGAATGAATGACTAAAACGCTAGAGTACTTCCAAATCTAAAAATGAACAATAGAAAAAAGTCTAGAATATAATTAAAAGCTTTACTGTAAGAATAATTTATGTACAGGAAATCGAGTGCATTTATATAGTTTTGTATAACCTTGGCCTTCTAAAAAAAGTCTGGAAATGTAGTTCGTATCACAACAATACAAGTAATTATCTAACTTAAAAGCAACACATAATTCTTTATTTTTCTAGATTTCCCTGATAAGCCCCTATTCAATGTCGACTGGATAAAACGTTTCTATCCTTTTTCTGGGCCTATATAGTACCAAAAAATATTTGTGGACACGTCACAATTAATAAATTTTCTCAATAGATATATTGCAACCATTGATCAAAAACCATATATTAAAATCTAATTAATAGTCAAAATTTAATAATCTAGATAAAAGTAAGATTGTTGAAAAAAGAGGAATATACCTGCATTGTAGTTAGAAATATAATCCATGATGAATCTAAAACATCACCGTGTGCATGAGCAGTTGTTAAAACAGCAGAAGCTGCTTGTAAATGTTTAATAGTAAGTAGTATATTTCCAGATGACGAAGAATCTGTATTTCCAGTGGATCCGGATCCACTTTGAACATGTCCAGTAGGTGTAGTCTGACTTGATATGTTTTGAAGAATAGATGAGATATTTGTAGGTGGATTAATATGAACAGTATGGCCAGGACCTTGAGAAATCACTAAAGCGATTCCACTACGTTCAAATATATCATCATGATTATTTGCACCATTGAAATTAGGAGATAACTGAGATATTACCGAACAATCTACATAGAAGTAAACCATAAATATGTATTTTTATCAATTTTAATAAGTATAGGAAATCAAGAGTGATTGGTTAAAGAGATAATTTGAAAAGATAGTTTCGAAATTAAAAATGTTTTAACGTTTCCTTTTCCTTCCTTGATCAACAACACTTCAAAAAAGAAATTATCACAACCAAATCCAGAAGTGATGATATAGTAAATTTTAAAAAAAAGTAATAACTGTTACATAATTGTGATGTGTACATTACTAGTAGAACAAATTGATTAAAACTGAGATAATGTAATAAACGAACTCCTTTTTTTGACTAATTGATTTCAAATGGAACTATTTGTCATTAATTCAACAGTGAAATTGCATTATTGACAAGAAATTAATTGAAGCTTAAGCATTTTTTTTTCAAAAAGAAACAAATACACAGTGAACATTTATCTATAATTAAGAGCTACCAAAACCTAAAACTACAGAATAATAAATATATTTTTTGATTGAGATCATGAACCGATTGGCTAGACCACCACAATTGAAAACCTGGAAGCACTGGACGGCCGTTTCGTCCTATTGTGGGACTCCTCAGCAGTGCGCATCCACGATCCCGTTCGCGGGATTCGAACCCAGGGCCTTCCGTCTCGCATGCGAACGCTTAACCGACTGGACCACTGAGCCGACATACAATGGTGATAGTTTCTAACATCAACCAATCCACGAAATTGCGCGACCAACTTCCGTTGTACTGAGGTAGATACTTGTCTCTACCCGACAAGAACTAGCTCCACTGGTCACGGCTTCTCACTAGAACTCCGAGAATTCCCTCACGTGGATGCGCACTGCTGAGGAGTCCCACAATAGGACGAAACGGCCGTCCAGTGCTTCCAGGTTTTCAATTGTGGTGGTCTAACGTCAATCGGTTCATGATCTCAATCAAAAACTTAATAATCTCCACAACCCCTATACTAGTAAATATATTTTTGTTATATCTCAATGAATAGAAAAATTGTATTCCTGATATTTCGTGGCTCAATGTAAGCCACTTCTTTAGAGTAAATAAATAACCGAAATTAAATTAACATAAGTTTAAATAGTACAGAATAAACAATACAATTCCCTCTGAAGAAGTGGCTTACATTAAGTCACAAAACGCCAGAGATACAATTTTCCTATTCACTGGGATATAACAAAAATATATTTATTACTAACCATCTACCCAATGCTCAATTTATTTGGAACTATAAAGTCCAACCTTGCCATTGATATCTTAAAGCCAGTGAATATGAATAATAAAGTTTAATTATTTAGTACAAGTTCATGTATTAACATGCGAATAAAATCGAACGTTTAAAACTCACATATAATCCATCTATTTAGTTCTCCTTAGTACGTGGGTTAATTGAATGGATACTTTGACTTTATTTGTATCTCTTAGTTGATAACGGTTAGCTAGGCTGCACAAATATTCCTAATGTTCATAACCCCAGTAAATATTGCTTCAGACCCTAGTGTAATTTAATAAATAACTAAGGCATAATTCCCAACACATGGTTCAAAAATTATGGAAGTATTGAATTCAATCCTGAATGTTACGAATAGGGAGGTGAAAATACTGTATTCATTGAACAAATCAGTAATTAAAGTGATTTAATAGTCCGGTGTACAATGGTTTAGCTTTTAAAACGGTAGGTAAATAATTTAAGTCTTAGTGGACAAACCAACAATAGGAAACAGATACATATATCTGACGAGTAACACATGGGACGAGATCCTATGTTGATCACTATTCATAACATGACTTTAATTTATAATTTGATATAGAAATAGTGGGTTTATTATTCAACCAAATGATAGAACATACTTTTAGAATGTGTTGCCAATAAAGAACGTCCAAATGAAGACGGCAGTGCAGCTCTACACATAGTTATAGAGAAAGCATCTCGAGATTCATCCAAATGTAACTTTCCGCTTAATTCAATCATAATTTGCAAAGACTGAAGAAGACCTGATGTTATGTGATGATCAGCACTGTAGTCAAATGAAGCATAGATTTTAAAAATAGTAATTAAAATAGCTAAGTAATTCATCCTAAAAATACATTGCATAAGTGTCTGACTAACTATATGGAGAAATAGTTTCTGGACTCTGTCAAAAGGGACCAAATTAATTCCTGACCGAGTGTGTTTGTGCTATGTCCTTGACTGTTACTAACTTTTTCAGATACAATACACAGATTTATGTTGTTGGAACGACACATCAGCGAATAAAACTTAATATGAGTAATATTTAAATGCATGTATGAGAAATATTAAACAAATCAAATCACATTGGGAGTCAGTGATAAAAATTAATCGAATAAATTATATAACTAGCGATAATAAGTAGAGACTATAAAATGACAGTAAGATGACATACGTATTAGTACTAGTACATCTGTTACACAGGGATTTGTCATAATAATCTCATCTCGCCGTGCTAATGTATTGCAATAACTTCAACCGATTCACGTTTGTTAAGTTTTATGTTATGTATGAACAAACGACTCAATGACAAGAACAAAGACAGTTTGAATAAATATTTCAACATAAAAAGTAGGTCAAAACTTAGGAAGATAAACTTATAAAATTCAATAAAAATTACTCAAAACAAAATCTGTGAAGAATCTATTTAAAAATATAACTAGTGAAAAGGCACGAAATAAGTAAGGTAAGGACACAAAGGTTTTAAAAAAAAATTAGCAAAGTCGACTATCAAGTTTTAACTTGGCCAATAAAAGATACAGATCTCATAAATTTCTTTTGAATACAGTGAATATAGTCGTCCTCAAATCGCTATAGCTCCTACTAAAAATCAGGTAAAATGTCACTAGGAATCATTTAGATTTATTTGCCACATTACCACTACTGACTAAACGTGATAAAACAGAGCTATATATTAACTTTGTTCCACACCACCCAGGAAGATTTTCACTTACTCGTTGCTAAGCTGCCTGAGAGCAACAAAAGAAACCTGATTATATGAGTCATTTGATAATATAGACCATTCGAAAGGTAATACTTAACTGTTAGACATCATTTTTATATTTTCATTTCTACGTAAGAAAACTCAAACGTAAATAATATGGTTTTTATTGTTATCTAATTATAATAATGTTAACAGATAGTTTTGATTTAAGAGAGCTTATTCCCGAAAAACTAGTAATCTTCAATCTGAAACATATAGGTAAAAGTGTTCAGGTCAAGGATAATAGTGTAATATGTCCTTATGTATCCATCTGTATGTAAGTGGATATGAAAAAGCGAATAATTATCAGTTTCCTTAATTTTTATCTGAATTATATGTCTACACACTCGACTGACATTATATGTCAGATACAAATTTATTCTTTTAGGGATAACGAAAGGAAAATATTATACATGGCTTGAAATATCTCGTTTGGTGTAGATGTGATTAATTAATTAATTAATTAATAATATTCTGAATTTCATTTTATTTATTATCCAAGCTTTTTTTATTAGTTTGGCAGTTTCCACCATTGAAACGTAAAAACTTTATTTCTTCCTTTAAGTTGTATGTAACATAAACTTAAATGATACGGTTCCGATAAACTCCAAACAAAAGATAATATATTAGAGAGATTCCCAACGAATATTCTATTTTCTTTGAGATATTCATTCGATATAATTTATCGTCTTTATTTGTGAAAAATTAGAGCCTGGTTATTTGAAAATCTTATTTTTGTAAATGGTTGACGGAACGAGTTCCAACTGACTGACGAATGTTTATCTAGTCCTTTAATACTAATCGAATTGCAAAGTGGTGATTAGTCTAAGTGAATGAACATCGCGTAACATGTCGAAATTTTAGGTGGTTGAAATTAACCTACAGGAAACCCTAGACGTACATTTCATGCAATTTGGAACTCTTAGCAAGGTGTACCTGTATTATCGTGGTAACTGATGCTCCCTGGTGGACTCAATCCTGCGTCATCGAGCTTCATAGCCTGAAACGTTGTTATTGAGCTATTCGGGCAGCGACTGACTTCATTTAGATACAAAATTACAAATCCCAATATCCAATAAAACGCGCCTACGCTACACTACATTTAAGTAACCAGATTAAAATAATAAAAGGGTGGTGGGGCTAAATCCTATAGTGACTGAATAAGCGAAGGATTACACGGATATCCGTTTCCGGCGGTAAGGTCTCAACAAGTACGGGGCTAACACGGAAATTACCCACAAAATGGTCGTGTGTGACCGACCTCAAGCAGTTGACCCTTGGGCACTGCGGTCACGCTCCCAGGTCACTAAGACCACCTCTAATCCAATTTCCTTTTCAGGTACTTCTAGAACAACCCTTCCACGGTGTGGGCAACCGGGAAGTGATAACCGCCCTCATACCTCTAACAACACTCAAGACCACTGTATTTATAATCAACCTCCGTCTTCACTTCCTATTATTGCTCCTACATCGACTTTCACCTCTAAACTTCCTTTCTCGACTTCCCCCTCAAGTGTCACCGTAGCCAATGATTAGAGTGCTCAAAACACTGTCACAGGTCTACTGAAACCTCGCTCCAAACTACACATTGGAGCCTTCAACGTACGCACCCTATGTCAAATCGGTCAGCAGGTTTCCTTGGCTAAAACCCTAGAATCTCGTACCATTGATGTATGCTGTGTCTCTGAAACACGCATACAGGATCCCAGTGTGGTCATTCACTTGACCTCACCTCGGCAAAACGGAGAGCCAACGAGATACACCCTACGTGTATCTGGTGACCCGATGGCCAGTTCTCGTGGACTGGCAGGTGTAGGCATAGCACTAAGCATGAGGGCGGAACAAGCACTGCTAGAGTGGATCCCCGTCAATAGTCGTTTATGTGCTGTTCGGCTAAACGGCTCCGTAAGAACTCAGAAGGATAGGGACACACGTCGTTGCCTTTTCACCGTTTCTGCCTACGCTCCCACTGACTGCAGCTCGGATGAAGTGAAAGATGAATTTTACAGAAAGCTATCTGAACTTCTTCAGAAAGCTAAACGTTCAGACATAGTACTCTCAGCAGGTGACTTTAATGCTCAGTTAGGTAGCTTAAACCAAAGAAAAAGACATTTAGGTGGGTATTTTAGTATTCCGACACAGCGAACAGATAATGGTGATCGTCTGCTGCGACCGTGCTCAGACAATCGTTTGTTTTTAGCAAACACAAATTTTAAGCATAAGGAGAGACATCGTCTAACATGGCGACCCCCTACACCAAACCAACGATGGACTCAAATAGACCATATTGCCATCAGTCATCGTTGGAGAGGGTCGGTAGAAGATTGTCGCTCATTCTGGAGTACCTGCTTGGACTCCGACCATGCCCTAATACGGGCACGCATCTGCTTGCGCCTCACTGGACGCAAAAAAGCCACATTAAAAAGACCCATTAGAACTGAGTTGAGTAACGAGAAAACCAAAAGTAGGTTCCAGGAACAACTGAGGTCACACTTAGGTAGTTGTGAAGACGAGGCTGACCCAGATGTTGCTTGGAAAGCATACAAACAGCTGTGGAAACAGCAGTGACATCTATTAGTGACTTAAACCACAGAGTTACAAAGAACCAGTGGATTTCTTCAAGGTCTATCACACTGATGGATTCTCGCAAACTCGTCCCATCAGGTTCTGAACATGATGAAGAGCGACAACAAATCAGATCTAGGTTAAGAAAAAGTCTAAGGAACGACCGTGAGCAGTGGTGGGCAACGAAAGCAAAAGAGATGGAAAAGGCGGCGACTATAGGGAACACAAGACAGCTTTACAGACTAATAAAAGAAACTGGAATTAATAAGTCAAGTGTAAGTGAGATTATTTCGGAAAAAGCGATACTCTCATCTGCTCCCAGTCCAGACGTTTAGAACGATGGGCGGAACATTTTAGAGAACAGTTCAGCTGGCCTTCAGCTACTCTACAACTACCCTCCATTCCCAGACAGTGAATGGAACATTGAAGTAGGTCCCCCAACTCTTGCTGAAGTTCAAAAGGCTATAGTTAATCTGAAACGAGGAAGGGCAGCTGGTCCAGATGGATTGGCTCCAGAAGTCTTTAAGGATGGTGGTCCAATTTTAGCGATTAGGTTGACTAATATTTTAGCTAAAATCTGGGAGTTAGACGTTATCCCATCTGACTGGTCGCAATCACTTATCGTCCCAATATATAAGAAAGGGTCAAAATCATCCTGTGACAACCACAGAGGGATTAGTTTAACAAATATAGTATCTAAAATACTGGCCTCGATAATTATCAGACGCCTAACTAAGACTCGTGAACTACAAACACGAGAGAACCAAGCTGGCTTTAGACCTGGTCGTGGCTGCATCGACCACATATTCACCATTCGTCAGGTTCTAGAACACAGGCATACTTATCGGCGTCCGACGATGGTGGTCTTTCTTGACTTAAAAGCAGCATTTGACTCTGTAGACCGCGAGATTCTGTGGCAGTGTCTGTCATTGAAAGGCGTACCTCAGAAGTACATAAACCTTGTGAAGGCTCTTTACTCGAACACTACTAGTCGAGTCAGGGCTTATGGCGAACTGTCATCTACTTTTGCAACCTCAAGTGGTGTCCGTCAAGGCTGTCCACTTTCTCCATTTTTGTTTAACTTCATCATAGACCTATTGATGGAAATAACACTCTCGTCGACTGAATTCTCGGGTATTGATCTCCTTCCAGGAGGTCCACTTATCGACTTAGAATATGCAGATGACATAGTCCTGTTTGGTGAAGACGCTGACAAAATGCAGAGTCTTCTGGTAGCACTAAGCAACAATGCCAGAATGTTTGGGATGCGCTTCTCTCCCTCTAAATGCAAGTTGTTGCTTCAGGACTGGTCTGCGTCAACACCTGAACTAAGGATAGGGAGTGAAGTAGTCGAACGCGTTGACAACTTCACTTATCTTGGAAGTCTGATCAGCCCTAATGGGTTGGTGTCTGACGAAATCTCAGCACGGATTCGAAAAGCTCGTTTGGCTTTTGCCAACTTACGTCACCTTTGGCGAGGCGAGATATCCGTCTATCAATAAAAGGACGAGTATACTGCGCGGCAGTCCGTTCTGTTTTAATTTACGGCAGCGAAACATGGCCATTAAGAGTAGAAGACACCCGTAAGCTACTAGTATTTGACCACAGATGCCTTAGAAATATTGCTGGCATCTGCTGGGATCACCGGGTAAGTAATAGTGAGGTTAGACGCAGGGTATTAGGGAATGATGGTAAATCAGTTGATGAGGTTATGAATCTTCATCGACTGAGATGGTTGGGCCACGTGTTACGTATGCCTGAACACCGATTACCACGACGTGCAATGCTAACCGGTGTAGGGGATGGTTGGAAGAAAGTTAGGGGCGGCCAAACCAAAACGTGGCATCAGTGCTTGAAGTCACTAACTTCTAGTCTGAGCCATGTTGGTAGATGCAGACTACTTGGTTGGGGTCCGCGTGACTTTCGTAACCAATGGTTGGAGACTCTTGGTGACATGGCTCAGAATCGATCACAATGGCGTCGGTGTATACACTCCCTGTCTTCCCTTAAACTAAGAGATTAAAATCACTTCATATCTTTCTTTCTACGAACTAATTCTTTCTTCCTATACTATATCCTTATTGCAATCTTTCTTTTATATATTACCACCACTGAATTAACTACTTTTATGAATCAGGTGTCCATCTTGTTGTGTTGATTAGGTATGGCAACCTGGGCCGATGCATATATGTGCCTGGTCCTACGTTGCAGCTGACTGACTGACTGACACTGACTGACTGACTGACTGACTGACTGACTGACTGACTGACTGACTGACTGACTGACTGACTGACTGACTGACTGACTGACTGACTGACTGACTGACTGACTGACTGACTGACATAAAACCAATCAGACGAATAATTTTCATAGATAAAATGGGCAAGAATTTTTAAATTTAATTCCCCCTACTTCATAAGACAGTTTGTCAAACAAAACTTACACCACAAATACATATACGAATTGAACCACTCGTTTATATCATTGATATCACGTTTACTATAATCATCATATACACACTACAAACATGTCGCATCTCTAACTACCTTTGATCTGAACAGCATGATATTAGAACGATCAGACTTGCTTGCTTGCACTATTCGTATACATGAATGCGGATTACCGAGTAGTCAAATACCAAGATGAAAAGACAGTCCAGTGCTTCAAGGATTTCAATGGTTGTCTGACTAAGATCAGTTTATAATTTAAGAACTACGAAAAACACTATTCCTTCGCTCAAGTTGTGTGTAAATGGAGATAGTTCAGTTTCTATACAGCTGTTGAATACCAGAAGATGCAAATTTTGAGACGTCAGAAATTCAATTCCCTGCTCATCGGAATATTATAAATAAATCATTACTTTATGATTACAAACGTCGCACTATTTCGATGTAATATAAAATATTAACAACTATCTTATGATCGGCATTAAAAAATTTGAGATTGTGAACCGGTTACTTCTACTTTGAACAAATATCTTTTGTCCAGTAGCCTTACCTAGTTATTTCGTGATATTTCATTCACTGGATTATTCTTAAGAATAGAAATTATTTTAAAAAAACATATTAATATATAATATTTAATTTCGCAACTTGATATACGTTATTTTATGAACCTTCTTAAAGTAAGTTCTTGTCAATGCTTTACATGTATTCTTTTTCTAATAATTTTAATAACGCAAAGATATATTTTTGTAACTTGTCCTGAATATTTCCCAAAAAATTTATGTTCTATAAACTATTTCAAACATCTTTTTTTATATCTTAAACAATGGCTAACATATCATTTCAAATGTCATCATTAAACTATTCAGTTATGGTCACTATACAAAGTAGAAATTCGGCTCTTTTAAGTTGAAACCTTAATTTATATTTCTTTTTTAAATCTCTTATATGTATGCGACATTAATCATTCTGATGATTAATGATCTGTGAACTTTTTTTCCACTAGTAGATAGCTTTATTATTGAATTAATATTACAGTAAGTTCTCTTTTTTGAGGATTTCCATGGATCTATTTTCGTCAGTTAACTGAATATTAACAGATCATACCTTCAGGTCTTAAAGGTTTTTTACTTGTGCCACTGTTAATACTAAGATTATAAATTAATAATATTATGACATTAAAGGGGGCAAATTTTCTTTCTAACTGTAAGATTTAAAAATCTCATTCGGCTCCAAAGAGAAGTATAGTTCCACTAAAGGATCTCTTCAAACAATATGGCCTGAAAGACAACAATTTCGATATTTATAACTAAGTATTCATTAAGGACATTTGATGTTTCCTGCATAAAATGACAGGGCTGTCTATAACATGCAACTATCTGTTGGTGATTTGAAATTTAAAATCTGGAAATAAAATTTTTGAACTACTAAGTCATTTAGTACACAATTAAGTCGTATGAAAAGTCGATTAGGGTAGAACGGATATGAAGATTTACTGCATAATCAGAACCAGATGACTCAAATTCTTTAGGCGATATATATATATATATACTTACCTTGATTCAAGTAATAAACTGAGCGTGGATAATATACTGCACCATGAATTAGATACAATTTGTTTGCAAAACACAATGTCATATTTTTTTGAAGTATTATCGTCATTGTTATTATTAATGTCATCATCACCATAATTAATAATTTCAGGAACATTAGCATTGATGATGACCTTTAGTGAGTCCACTGTTTTACGTAGACATACTAAAGCCAATGAAAGACAATAACCATCAGGTAAAATTGGTGGTTCATTGCGATCAAGCATCTCAAGACTAGGGAATAATCGAATATAAAAACAAGAAACAATAGATCTAAGTGAATGAAAATGCAACTTAAATACAGAGACAAGTAAAAAGATGAAATAAATAACATAGATATTTTTAAATCATTTTTGCATTATTTAAAACATAAACGCTAATCCAATAGTCCAAGGGTTAAGTGCTCGTCACAACACCTGAATGTCCTGAATACGATAGCAGTAGGGTCATGGGTCCTCGCTTCTGAGAGGTCTCATACTAGGACGAAACTCGGTAATGCTTCCTAGTTCTATGCAGTTGTTTGGCTAAAATTAGTTTATGACACACTGTAAAGCACAGATAGAAGCCTGTTACAGTAGAGTCGAAGAATGGACTATCAGAAGTTAAATGAAGCTATCGAAACAGGAGTTACACAAAAACTCTAATGGTTATCAATGAAAGATTTTCAAATGAATGATTTACGTATCATTGTCTCAATATCAGAAACGGTAACCATAAACCATTTCGGGATGTAACAGCATCTAGTTTATTAGCGTATGCAGGTCAACACTACGTGCTCATATGTCCAGGATTTATTTGTCTTATTGTTTTAAATTGAAAGGAAATATGAACCAAAAAATTAATAACAATGATAATAATAATAACTATTATTATTATGGACAGTAATCTAGACTTACAGCATTCCTTTTGATTGTATATTGATTGGAAAATAACTCCCTTTATAATATAACATGGATTGATTGATACCTCCAACATGAACTGTTTGATTCGGTGTTTGATTAGCATTATCTTTAGCTATTAAAATGTAATCAATTAAGAGAATATGGAAAAACATGAACCATAACTACGTTTGCAACGTTAAAAACGAAAGTGAATGGTATTTTAAAATTAATTTAAGATCCAAAATAATTATGTATAGGATGGTAAATAGGACGCGCCAAAAGACATGACAATATATGAGAGATAATAATATCAACTGTCCATAAGAATGACACATGAAGGAATCCAAGTCATTCGTAACAATTTTTTACCGAATGAAACATTTAGTTATTTAGTTATTTATTTAAAAGAAATTCAATCAACAGACTTAAACCCAACAAATAATAAACAGAAATAATCATACAAGGATTTACGTTACGAATAAGTCTAACAATTTTTAATCAGTTTCGTCATAAATAACCAAATTTATTATTAAAGACAGCGGATCAAAATGTAATAGCAACTTGTAAATGAATAATAGTTGACTTCAAAATACTACCAATTAAATCTAACTCATAACTTTATTTGTTTGAAACTGGAAAAACAATCTGAGGATGATAAGTACTAAACTGAATAATAACAAAATTCATTAATTCATTTGCTTGTATTTATAGTTGATTTTAAAGGGTAAAAAATGAAAAGGCTGTGAACAATAACCCAGTAGCTATAGCAACAAATTTTTTAGTTACCATTAAATAAAAAATGAAATGTATGAAAAACTCCGCCTGCAGCTCTTCTAGAATTACTGCTGGTTCGAAGACCAGATAAAGAAGAAGGGTTGAGCATGGAGTCTGCAAACCCGCCCCGTAGAAAACAACCTTGCTAAAAAAAACACTAACCAGAACAAATAAATTAAACCACTGGAACTCAACCTCCCGAGTTGAAGGAACAATTATGACGCCTCATGATGAAAGCGGAGTTCTTTCGGAAGTCACGAGGCCGACACCTCTCAAACAAACAGAGCAATAATTAATGTAAGCACATAGAATGTTCGAACAATGAGGGAGACCGGAAGAGCCAGTTGAATAGCTACGGAAATAAGGAGATACAACTTGGCAGTGCTCGAATCAGCGAAACCAATTGGATCCAAGCTGGACGGAAAAGGTTAGATACGGAGAGGTGTTGCTGTACTCTTGTCACGAAGAGGAAAATGCTCCACACACTCAGGGAGTTGTTCCGATGCTGTCCAAAGAAATACGAAGTGCACTTATTGAGTGGGGATCTCATGGATCCAAAGCCATCAAAGCATGATTCAAAACAAACAAGAAGGGAATCACGATGAATGTTATTCAGTGTCATGCACCAACCAGTGATAGCAACGACGACAACAAAAACCAGTTTTACGGAAGACTGAAATCTATCATAGAGAAGTTACCAGGACATGACCTGATCATCCTGATGGACGACCGATCATATTTGCATCACTAAAAATTTCGGAAGGACGATAGAAGACGTGAGAACCAGGAGAGGAACTGACACAGCTTCAGATCACCACCTGATTGAGACCAAGATGAAGCTGAAGAAATACTGGACAAGCAGCATTACAAAGGTTCAATACAGCATTCCATCGAAATACTAACAAACTCAACGAATTCAAGGTAACTCTCAACAACAGATTCTAAGCCTCGTAAGATCTACTCGAAGAAGAAAAAACTACTATGAAGGATAGTTGTAAAGGGATCAAAGAAGCACTAACTTCAACATGTCAGAAGGTGCTGAACAGCAAGAAGCATCATCATAAGAAATAGATCTCTACCGAAACCCTGAACAAGATTCAACAATGTAAGAAGATAGTAATTACCAACAGTCGAACAAGAACAGAGAAAGTCAAGGCACAAGCTGAATACACAGAAGCAAACAAACAAGTGAGCAAGAGCATTAGAGCTGAAAAGTAGAAATATGTGGAAGAGCTAGCAATGACAGCGGAAAAAGCTGCAACAGAAGGAAATATGAAACAATTATATGACAAGACGAAGAAATTGGCAGGGAAATATAGTAAACCAGGAAGGTCAGTCAAGCACAAAGAAGGCAAGAGAGTCATTGAGATTCAAGTACAGATGTTCAGTTGGACAGAATACTTCGATCGAAGGAATCAGGATGGGCATCAGACAAACTAAGAGTGGGAAAGTAGCAGCATCTGACAACATACCACCTGAAACGCTGAAGTCAGACATGGAAGCATGCTCCACATTCTATTTTGTACGATTTGGGATAGGGAACAAGTGCAGACAAACTGAAAAGAATGGCACATCACCAAGATACCAAAATATACCAATGAAAGATTCCGTAGACACCTAACTTAGAGATCAACAGACCGGACTCCGTAAGGACCTGTTGTACACAGACCAAATCGCCACACTACGGATCACCGTTGAACAATCAATTGAATGGAACTCATCACTATACATCAACTTCCATGGCAATAAGAATCTGATGCAGACGTAATGGCGAGGATCGGCAAAACAACACTACTTACTTACTTACGCCTGTTACCCCTAATGGAGCATAGGCCGCAGACCAGCATTCTCCAACCCAATCTGTCCTGGGCCTTCTTTTCTAGTCCCATCCAATTCTTGTTCAATTTTCTCATGTCTATTTCCATTTCCCGGCGTAATGTGTTCTTTGGGCAAAACAACGTACGGAACTCAAAATAAGTGTCAACCAATATCAAAGTGAGAATTTTCAGTACGAACGTCAAGACAGTTCTACTGTACAGAGCCGAAACGTAGAGAACTACTACAACCATCATCAAGAATGTACAAGTATTTCTAAACAGTTGTCTACGCAAGATAGTGAATGTGCGTTGACTGGATACCATTTGTAACAGCCTACTGTGGAAGGAAACAAATCAGCTTCCAATTGAATAGGGAATTAGGAAAAGAAGCTGGAGGTGGATAGGATCTACATTTCGGAAATTATCAAACTGCATCACGAGGCAAGTGCTAATCTGGAATCCTGAAAGGAAACATAAAAGAAGAAGGCTAAAGAATACACGGCGTCGAGAAATGGAAGCAGACATCAACAGGATGAATAGCAACTGGAAAGGATTTCCCAGGACAGAGTTGGATAGAGAATGTTAGTGAGCAGTCTATGCCCCTCCACGAGGGTAACAGGCGTAAGTAAGTGAGTAAGTAAGTAAGTAAGTAAGTAAGTAAGTGCGTAATGTATTAAAGCTGATAACCGAGCAAAGTGAGTACGGGGAAAAAAGGCAACAATATTGTACTGTATAGAAGATTCCCTTGTTGGCAGTACAGAAATATTTGAGAGGAATGTTTAAATAAGTAGGTTCCGTTGCTCGACATATATGTAGTTTAGACGGGATGTTTACTCCATGTAATCGATAGGAATGTCTTATGAATCTTGCTTTATGCCTTATAATGTAAATTCTTACGAGGAATCAAGCATCGATCAATAACTCATGTTGCAGACATATATCTTTCCCCTTATTGACTGACTTATCTCCCAATATTTCATCTTATAAAAATCAATGTAATCGGAATTAAGACAAGCTTTTCATTACTCTCTAACAGGTATCAACTCAATATTTACGGGAAAAAATTGAAATTAATAATGTTGCTTTAATGCGATGTGTCATTGTTTCTGGAAATATACAAGACAATTCATGTTTTAGATATTGATTTGAATAGTTCCACATAAAATTCTTTTCATGGACTTATTTATTATGTTAGTAGAAAAATACAATCGAATTTTATATCCACTGAGGCGAGGAAAGTTCCCATGATTATGAGGGAACATAATTTATAACATAGTTAAAAAACGACACTTCCACTAAGATTTTTATCCTTAGACATTTTCTGAACAGATGAAAAAACAATCGATTCTAAGACGCTAGAAAAAGACCAAGTATTATAGAATGAGTATCACTGGTATGCAACAACTAACAATGACACTGATTGACGATCTTTATTTCTACTATGTGTTTCAAAACATTTCTGACTACTTACATTTAATAAGTAAGTAAAACAGAAAAAGAAAAAACTTTGCGGGAGATATAGAAACAAGAAATCTGCAACCAACTAATTACTTCGTTCATATACAAAAACCAAAAGATACTACTTAAAATGTCTGATTGAGACGCTATTACAAATAAAACAAACATTCTAAACACTTACTAGCATGGTCAAAATTCCCCTGAAAATTTGCAGCTGATAGTCAGTTAAAATGGAAAACAGTCGCCAAAGCCTCGAAATAAGCGCTTTTAAGTGACATCACACCTATAACGATATGAAGTGTGACAACTTAGCTCGGTGAATATTTCTTTCTGTTCACTGTTGTTTACGAGAGAGATGATGCAAATTCCTTAAAGAAACTGGTGGACGAATAGACTAAGACACGGAACTTATATGCGAGGGTTTAAATCTGATGGTTTGATTTAGATATGGAACATTAGATTTAATCAATACAATTAGCAAGATAACCGAAATAAATGAATCCGTTTTTCATGCAGTTTTTAAAAATTCCCGGTCGAATAAATACATCTCCCAATCTGAAATCTTCAAAATACTGTTATTTTATACTTTTTATTTTACATCCCAATTTTTTACATTTCAACCACACAACTTCAACTCTTAGGATATCTCCATTTCCCTATGAAACGACTATACCTAACTGACTTAGAATAGAACCATAAGATCGTTGACAGTGAATATTGATAACTAAAGATCTTCCCTACTTATTCATACAAATAAACTGAAACTTCCATCCAAATGATCATTGAAACAACTCCGGTCAACAATGTCAAATAGGAGTGAGTTCTTTCAAGCATGAAACGAATCTTATGATACTAACCTTCATTTTACTATCGATGAATAGACACTCAAGATTTCATACTTTATTCATGATAAAGCCTGAAACATGCACATTACCGACAGGAATTTCTAATTATACCATGACATAAAACCATGTAATTCAAACTAAATATGAATACTGAGCAACAACAAAGCCATAAACTTTTGATATAAAAAGAAATACATTTAAAAGGAAAATACTTACATAGTTCATCACCTGGACATGGAGTGGCTAAAGATGTTTGTATGTACTGTCCGAAAGCATTTAAAAGTTCATGAAATATTTTTGTTGCATGCTGTCTCATATCGTATGAAATACAAATATGCCTTTAAAAAATAGCAAAATTGAGAAGCGAAATAATAAATGATGCCATATTTTGCTCAAATTGTAACGTAAACGAGTCTATTAGAAATTGGAAATGACATCACATGTTGTAATCTAATTACAAGAGTTAGTCTCTATCTTTTAAATTGAACGAAAGAATGCTCGAGGTACACTTCTGTAAATTGAGAATTCAGGTACTGAAAAGAATTCATGTAAGGAAAGAAGTTCCAAAATATTAGTTGGTTACATACATTATTATATATACCATCTTATTTAATCCTCCCTGTTCACTGAATACTTTCAATCAAGTTTCTATATAACTACTAGGTTACACGATTCAAAACAGCATGTACTATGTCCTGGTATTAGGTGATCAAAGGTAAGCGACAGAGAGCCACTGACCTAGGTTTCATGTTAAATAGCGCTCTTCAACAAGGTGTATCAGTAATCCTTGGAAAACGAATGTTCCCTGAAGGATTCAAAGACATTCTATCCAATGTAGTAATATTATGCATTGTCGAGTTTTTTAGATAAACGACTACATTTTAACTTGGTCGATAATAATTCGATCAGCAATAAAAACCAGGTTAAACGTTGTTTACGATTCATTGACCAACTCTACAGTAGATAAGTCTTAATACAAATAACTTAGCGATGGGGTAGTAACTACAACACAAGGAGCATCAGTTACCGCGTGTTTGAAGATACGTCATGTCGACGAATGCCAATGAACGAAGCCTAAGCTAGGAACTTACTTCTGATACCCTTAAATCCTTTAACATTAAAACGAAATGTAAAGCATCTTGATCAATGTTATCTTTATAAACTTCTTCATAATAATAATTCCAGTACCTACGAGATCCCAAGTTAATAATACTTGACCTTGGTACATTTATCAGTACAAGTGACAAAATATTTCACGAAACATTTAATCAAAGTCCATATTTCTTTAAAAAGACTGGCCGTAAAAGCATGAGATTGAAGATAAACACTTGTCTTTATTGAATGTTCTCTACTTAGTATAAATTTTAATCAGATTTGTAACTGTAAAGCAAATTGTCAAAACAAAATATGAAAATAGTATGTCACAAAATGATGCCGACGGTTAGTTAATCACAATACTAAAGGTTTCAACTATTCAAAATGTAATGAAATGATCGATAAGTTGTATAGTAATAACTACTTTTAATAAATTGGTTTACTCAATATTTATTCAGAGGCAATAACTATGCTTAAATGCTGAATATGAGCGATTGTGATAGTAGGTGACTACTAATCTCTATACAAAGGTGTTCAGTTATTACAGTACTCAAGATTTCAGAACCATATGTCTTATGTGAAATGTTTATTAACATCACAAAAATACAGTACAAATCAGGCATTGTTAATAACATGTAAATCGAAGAATGTACAATTACAGATCCATCAACAAATTAATGGTTTCGAGATTTGATTTTAGAACTGTTAAAGTGAATAAGAAATAGTTAGCCTGTGGTTTAATTCTAAACACTAGTTTAGTTTAAAGCTAAAGACACTCTACAGACCGACGTAAAAGTGTCATGGCCGATTTACATACTTTGGGGGTTTTCTTGTCAATCGAATCCATAGCTTCCATACCCTCAATATATTCTCAAGAAAATGTGGTAAAAAGAGATTTGAGGAAAGGAATCCGAAATAGTAATGAGTTTTGTACTGCTAAGCAAATTTTTCGACGAGTTACAGACAAACTGGAAAAAACTGAATGAACTGTCAAGTCACATGTATAGGTTGATAATCGAGGACCCCAACTACTGAATAAAATCACAATGTAAAAGTTCATCATTTTTTGAGTTAAAAATGATTCAGTTGATGAGACGAATAGAGTTCATTCTTACGATATGAAAAGCATTATTTACAGTAAATATTTCAAAGATTTACTGTGTGTGAAGGTGAAGAAACTTTTGATTAAAGATTATTACAGAGTGAAAGGTGCATAACAAAACAACGATAATTTACGCAGTAAAAATAAACATCTTACTACAAATAACTTACTATGAAATGATAATACTTGAAGTAATCCCATTTACATGTTTGTAGCCAAATCCTGATACAGCCGAGAATGAGGAGAGTTCGTCCTCCACCCACACCGAAATACCCTCATGTGGTAACGTGTATAAAGTCACTTCAGGGAAGTCCTACTCAATGCCTTCTTGTGGCACTTAAACTGACCTAGTGAATACGGAGCATCCACTTGAGGGAGTTGGAAAACCCTGTCTCTAAACCGATAATGAACATGGGATCAAGAATTCTGAGGGGACAAATGGCGTATGAATCTATTATTGGCTGCTGGCTTACTTGAGGTGCAATCTTCCAACATTGCTCCATTGCCTTGTGGATTAGACTTCCAAGTCGAAGCGTCAGGATGTGGCCCCCTATTAAAAGTATCTGCTTTGATCTGGGCGCTCGGGGAGTATTTTGAATTACACACGATTGTTATTTGTGTGGTGCTTCTTTGTACAAATGTTCATGTGTTTAAATAAATAGATACATAATCCTATTCATTTATGGCCAGTTACAAGAAGTAATTTCAGTAACTTTTTGATTTACCAATGAACAGTATACTCCTTACATAAATTCTCCCTCGTTCATAATCACTTTGATTATGGTAGTTATATTCTAAAATGTTAATCTCCTAAAAAAAACGATTTCCTGATTGATAAATCAAAAACATATTTTTCATTTCCGATTTAATGTTTACCTCATCAAATATATTAACCTTAAAGATCCATGAAATAAAATGAATATTCAGTTTAAAATCATACATTTTGAAAAATTGGTATATCAAAGTATAATTAAGTAGTTTGAATCTTACTTAACTAATTCAGGTTGTTCCACAATTTTAAATAGAACTTCTAATGCCAATGCACGTTGCCACAATAACTTATTCACATCCAAAAATCGTATGAGCAACGAGAGATAGATTTCACACTCTGTATTCTGAAAATTTTTTTAAAAAAAATATATGAACAGAACAAAAAGCAGTTTTCTTTAATGTTAAAAATCTGACTATCCAAACAGAAATAATTGGAATACCACTTAAAGTATCAGCAAAAAGAAAGCATTATGGTATTTTTTCTAAAAGGGCTATAAAATGTTTCTTTTTCGTTGCATAAAACGACTTCCTAATGATGGTTGAAGTATAATTAGTTTGAAAAAAGATTAGAAAGTACGTGATACCACTTGATTATACAGATGAATACTCCTAACTTCAAATATTTTGGATAATAAACATGTACAATTTGCAATTTATTTATCTGGGAACCAAGCAAAATAAAAGTTCAATTTTCAACACAGCATTTATTCAAGAAATTAAATGAGACTAAACTAGGCTAATGACTATTGCAAAAATGCAATTATTTATTTATAATGCCGTTGGACGTATGTTGTGGAAATGTCATTCTACAGCATCTCTGAACACGTTATCAATGGTGGAAAAAATCAACACAAAACTGTGAAACGTAAAAATCGAAGTAGTGAATACGATAAACATTATGTGGATTAAATCATCCTCAAGAGGACGGACAGATCAAAATATAAACGTAATCCAAGATATTATAACATAATATACTTGTTGTTCCGTTTGTACTATTTAAACTTGGATTAATTTTGATTTGATTATTTATTTATTCTCTGAAGAAGTGGCTTACACTAAGTCACGAGACGTCAGAACATTTAATTTTTCTACTCACTGGGATATTACAAATGTATTATTTATTTATAGCCACTAAAAAGGCTGAGTGAAGCAAGGAAAATAACAGTAATTTGATTCTTTATGAATGTCTCAGAAGCACTAAAACCACTCACCATCAGGAACAGCAGTAGAAGACTTTACTCAATATCAAACAGGAATTAAGTGTGGATGATAGTTAGCACGATATTCAAATGTATTTTAGCCGAAAGCTTTGACTAGAAGTGCAATCTTACTCATGCTTAAAGCCATGTTTATAACTGAAGTTATTGAATCATACATATTCATTTCATCAAAGAGTTGAATCTAACCCAACTTACCAAAAGATGGAAGTAATGATTGACGATGACAATGACCAAACGTTTCAAACGAACAAACAATGCGAAATTCGGTTTTTCACTATTCATCACGTCATTCGAAACACCAGACGGTGATGATAGTGATGACAACGACGATGCCACTCCACTGACACTAGTTAATGCAGCCGTTGCAGCAGCGAACGCAGCTGAGGCGACATCTGTTATCCCCCCACCACCAGACGTGGCCAATGGAGTTAAGTGCAATTTTAAACTTGGAGAAAATAATTTTATCACCAGTGGGCATAAATTCGTTTTCAGTAAATATGCAAAAGCAGGATGCTGTGTTGGAATGTAAAAAGAACAGGCTTCATTGGTTAAATACCATATACAAGTATGTAGTAGACAACCGATAACGACCAAACAAATGCTAAAAACTACAACGTAATAAGTAATTATTTCTTCCTAACTCCAGCGCATCTTCATAGTTTACGACCAGTATATATTACACTTATTTTAACATCTACTAGTAAAATACTCGCCTCTTAACGAAATTCCTACACTAAGAACCAAATTAGAACACGCTTTTGTTACTCTTGGTCCTCATCTTTATACTCAAAAACGCTGCACAGCACATGATACATTAGTTGAACTACTTTAAGAACAAAGAAGTTGAGATGTGGTACAGTTGAAGCCAGTCAATCAGACAAAATTTGTGTAATAGTGATATGAAACCTGATGCACTTGGGAAGGATATTCAAAAAAGCCATTACGCATCCGACTATAGTATGTTAATAATTCATAATGAATAAGAAAAAGAGAATTCAGCGAAGAAAATTTTCTTTTCAACGAAATCATTTACTTAAGCTGTACATTCGTATATATAGTTATATGGAAAATGTATGTCTATAGAAGGATAGACTGGATTGTATCACAAAAATGGATTCGACAATAAATATCAAATGAGTTGCTGAAGAAACACTCTTACAGTAACCTAGTCTCAATTGAGAATTTAGTTTTCGTGAAGAGAATCAGTCATCAATAATCTCAATCTCATCACTTCATCATAAATCGATATTATTAGCAGGATATGGATTGGATTAAAGCATTTCCCATGCAGGAATGTGTTGAGGCACGCTGAATGGCTACTCCTTAACCAATTAGCGGTAGCGGATACTTGGAGAAGACTCTAGAATACTAACGTTTTCCTGATTGCGATTCCTACTTTTATCCAACCGTGTTTATTTGGAATATGACTACGCTTTTGTTTAACCGCGTTCTGATTTGGGGACTTGTCGAGCGAGGTAGCGTCCGAGATTGCTAATCAATAAGAGTAACTGGGTCGTACGAAGAGAATTTGCAACATATATGCCCTACATTTTCCTTCAAACTCATAATATGAACGAATCTTATATCTTATATATATAAAAATAATCCTTATGCTTGACTTCTATTTTCAAAAATACTATTACTATACATATCGGGATGACCTGCGGGAACATGACTTTTTTATGCATGTATGCGTTGTTCATAAGAGTTGAAAATATTATTAGTCTCATTCGCATGCCGAAATCAGACAAAGATGTGATTAGAGTTGGCTTTTTAAATGTACCTCGCAATTGTGGTGGAAGCCAACAAAAAGCATAGTTACTAACACAGCCAAATTAAAACTCACCTGACAAAATAAACTAGGATAGGAAAAGATAAGCGATTCAACTAGCTCCAGACCCAGGACTTTATTTATCTGTATTGTGCCACACAACCAAATACATGTATCGTCACTTATTAGTAGGCAAATATCCTACAGAAAAGTTAACAGAACGGTAACAAACTACTGATGATTTAATATGTACAGAAACAAGTGAACACTCATTGAACTCATATCAATTACCAGTATATATAACAAGGTAACAAACAATTTACTTGAACACATATTTTTTTACATTAGCAAGGAACGTTTGTTTATATGAAACAACCATTAGATCCAAACTAAATCTATCTATCTAAACTTTCAGTGTCAGTCAAAATTCAACAACTTAGAGATATGGTTTAATCACCAGATTTGGAAAGAATGCCATATTTCAATAATCTACAGTGTAAAATTTGTGACCAAAATACAAAGCTTATCTTTCATTATTATTAGCATAGAGTTTAATAACAACTGACCGTAAAACTCACAGATAGGTTCGGTGCCACTGGGATTCAAAAATTTGGGTTTTCCCTATGTTTAGTTACTGCCACAAGTACTAAAGATTTTCTAAAAACAAGTCCACCGAATTATGAATTAAACTCAAGATTATCTATAGAAAATTTGTACATGTAAAGGACAGGAAGTAAACTATAGTCAATACCATCCACAGAAGTATATCAAACGTGTACAGTAAAACAATAAACGACATACAGCTTAAATAAACTAACAACTGTGATATATGCATCAAACAAAAACTTTGTAAGTGTTAGGCGTTAACTACAAACGATCGAGATTGGAACTGCTTACCTGAAAAAGCATATAGGCATCCCTTTCAGAGGACTTCAAGTCCAGAGGGTTAACAGGAAGAATATCATCGACTCCGGCTAAAATTTCGAAAGTGTAAAACGTAATATAAAAAATTACTAGAGCCCGATATTAAACAATGTCAAGGAAGTGGAAGTCAAAGTGATACCTATATAGAAACGAACTAAAGAAACAATTCATTTTCGCTGGGAAACGCTAATGTAATTTCGAGAACAAATAAGAGGAAGTATCTGATGGAATGCAGTGAATCCGATGATAATTGTTTTGAGTTACGGTTCTTGTAATACTAATAACTATAGTCCCGAAAATCACAATTTTCTGGCTAATTGGAGAAGACTGAACTTACGTGTTGCTTTTTGTTTACTCGAATCCGTAGGTTGTATGATCAACTCTTCCTTGAACACACGGTCAAAAATAGCACTTGCACATTGGCGAACAGCTGCTGCTGCTGTGTTTACAGTGGAAGGTGACTTCGAAAGATGAAGCTTCAAACAAATGGTGAAGGCCTAAGAGAAAATAAGGAGACAGTTTTAGAATCCAAGCATAGTAATAACACATTAATGGTTTAGGGACTTATTTTCAAAGCATGTTCAGGAATTCAAACTGCGCTTACTTATTCAAGTTTGACTGAGCACATCAGATCTTCCTTATAGCTTAGTGAATTGAAATTGGCAAGATTACAGAGTAATATTTAGTGCCAGTTAACAAACTAATTATGTAGCAGGTGTGTACAAGTAGAACGTTTTACTTGGTGCTATCCTAACTTACTAGATTAAAGTGATTTCTGTTGACCCATATTATTTCAGGGTACCTTAAGGATGGAATAGCGAGAACAGTAACTAGATGAGAATACATAGTAACACCATAAGAAAATTATACCTTACAACACAAGAACTAAATGGTCCTATCTGACTGCTGATCACTTACAATCTAAAACCAGTGATTTCTACACTCATATCTCATTTGTATGATCAACAGATCTATCAATATGTATCCACTAATGTCGCAAACCTATGCCACTTTTTAATTAGGATATATTTTTGTTGTTTAGACAAATAAGATGGTAATGGTGCGTGGGAAAGCTCAGAGCTCATAAAACCTGATATTGACATGATACTATAGACGATTCATTTAATGACATTCCTCTGTGCTTATCAGATGGAGATAAAAAATAATCAGATTCTGATTATCATGAACAGCAATTATATCACCTGCTTAGCTATGGTTATTAATGGCAAGAGTAATAAAAGCAGTCCTCGAACCATTAATATATTCACTGCGTAAAGATTTTCATTTACTTGTAAAGTAAACCAGAAAACCATGAGAACATAAATACCGGAATGTTAAGAAGAGGTATACATATTAACTTGAACTCCATTTACAATTTACACAACCACAAACACATCTAATTGGGTTATCAAAACCTAGCTAATGGCGTCCATATAAGCATGTTTCGAAAATATTAAAAAATGTTCAGGGTGTACGATTTACTTTCGCAAGCTGAGGTCCACGTATCAAGGATGAGCTTGTGAGAAGCAATATGGTCGTCTGAAGTAGGCGTAATTCCTCTATATTCGACTCCGCAAGCTGCCAAAGTGTACTAACGATAGCTTCAGAGGCATCCTGAACAAAGTAAAGACAACAAATAATTTACCTCTGATAAACACCTCTGATTGATGAAACGCTGAAGTGCCGTTAGACACAATACTATTATCTTCTGGTTTTTCGAAAGGCAACCATTTAAAAATGGAGAGATTAGAGAACTGCACGATCCCTGTAGGGCTATACAATGATTAAGCAAATAAAATAATTACTAACCTCCACGGAGTTCAGTGTCACTGTTTATGATAGCTCTTAATTTAGGAATTTGTGATTCAGTTGCCTAGAAATGTCAAAATTTTGAATGTGACTACTTCTTTAATAGGGACAAATCTCCTCTTTGTTTCTGAAATAAGACTGCGATAATCTTGAAGCACATTCTCCGTGAATTTGAGCAATGATGCAGTGTCTCTATCCGACATACGTAGATCCCGCAATGAATTTAACAACAAGTCCAAGCTTTGAATGCAGCGGGGCCAACCTTACAAATCTCTGTGCATCGTTATAAGAAATGATCGTCACAAAAGGAAACTGAACTGGAAATTAACATATTGGTTTCTTGAGACCTAGATCACATATATTCAAGACTGTGTAAACGCTGAAATAATTGATATGTAATGGATTATTATGTACAAAACCTCTAATTTGATCCTTATTGATGAGACCCTGCAAGGATGATTACCTTGGTCTTCCTTTGTGAACGATTATCATCCTTCTTTATAGCTTTCAAGATGTCATTTCGTTTGTTCGATTTCTTTTAATGACTCCAAAACGTGGTTTAAACTACTATGTATAAATCCCTTTGTCATATTGAATAAGGTTCGGCAAACAAGTGCTCCATTAGAAACATCTTGTTTTCACTCACTATGACGTCTGTATATTTTCCCTTTTACGTTTTAGGCATTTCTCGTATCTACTGCCTGCCAGATCATTCAGGTATATGTAAAGACGCCAACGCAGTTAAGAATTAATAGTGCTCTTACTAATGTATTTCTGTAATAACGTCGTTTGTGTTGTACAGTCATCAAAGCAGAGGAATAAGCCTCACGTAGTCGGAGTTTGGTAATGTTTCTACGCGTAACATCTTTGTAATCGTAGTATGCCAACTAAGCCAAATCAGAAGTCAAAAATGATGGAGTTCGAAAATACATATGGAACGCTAACGACATACCGAGAAGCTTTTGATCTAGGCAGGTTGGCAGTTAGACGGAAAGAGTGCCAAGGCGTATTCACTAGCCATCTGGTGAAGATGAGTGACCGAGCGCCTTCGGCTAAGCACAACCAGTAAAATTAGTACGGTGACCATCAATGTCGAACATTTACAGGACTATTTCTTTCGGGAATTTATTAGCCGCTACAACTCACTCCCCATCAACTAGGGTTGTGATGACCACAAGACGTGGATGGTCACAATTTTAGGCTCAACGAGCCTGTCGTTGGTAATCACTTATCTAATAGCTTGCTATGTTCAGTAGTATCTGGTTGTCCGTCCCTAGTATACGGGGCCATGTGGTACAACACAACAATAACAAATATCCAATGAAAATTTCTATTCGTCGTTTTTTCGTCGCTTCATCCTACAAAATTAAGCCAATGAAATTTTAAGTGCGTATCGAAAAACACTCGCACGTGAGTAACGACACGAAACGGACGAGAAGAAGAAAAGTAGACTGGTATATATATAGAATTGTGGTCCAGTTCGTCGTTTTTATCGCTATAATACTGAACCTAAATTGTGTATTTGTCATCATGTAATTACCTAATTTTTATGATCTTACGTGAAAGTCACATTTTTGTCTATGTTGACCCGTCCTGTCGTAAGAATCACCAGTGTGATGATGCCTACTACTAGAGAACACATTTCAGTTATTGACCGAACAATAAGTCTAATATGAATAAAAGAGATAAGTTACACAAGAATGTCCAAGGCCACATGGCTGAGCAATGCCATCCCACTCAATCCAATTATTTCTTTTCTCCTTCTCCACCGCTGACCTTCTCTTCATGCTAATTGTTGGATAGCCATTTTCCCATTTATCACATGTTCAAATCTGTGGATTGTGTGGTTGGGACCAATGCCACTACATACATGCGCACTATTACCATACTGTAGTGTAAAAACATTTTTGCATAATTATAGTTTTTGCGTTTTTTTGTTAGTAAGCAAATGTACACACATATGTGAGTATATTAGAAAAAATGATGTTCGTTTTCGGTTTTTTCACAAAGTAATACAAAAGATTGAAATATAACAAAATGTTGTACAGTGTTCTACGCACAACAATTGTTCAAGTGTTCAGGAAACCTTATCTATTTTTTAGAGCTCGGTCTTTTGGGCCGGTTTTCAGATATCAGAGTAGTTTCTTCGTGATTATTTATTATCGGGTGATGTATAGTAGTTATGAGGCTCGCGTCGTTCGAGAATATCGTAGGAATATCAACAATACTACAGTTTCCCTCTAAATAAACAACATTAAAACGGTAGATGCTGATGTTATCATTTGTTCCATTCTATCGACCATATAGTGTTTAGGTTTGTGATGTGAAGCTTTGATAGGTCTTTCGTATACCCTTTCCGAGTGGTCGTCGTAATGAATCGCGACATACAAAATTGTGTGTACTATGTTTTAAGTCGAGTCGAACGAGAACACCCGTTGACTGCTATCGAGTGGAAACAGGTTTAACCAAACGCCCGGCGTTTTCATCCATGCTTGAGTAGGATTTCGGATCCTCATTCATTGAGGATGAAGGATCTACGAATACTCCTAGAAGTCGAAATGCCGTTCCCTAATCTAGTTGACCTGCAGTGAATCCAATGTCAGCTTTCACTGCATTGTGAATGCCAAATAAAACGAGCAGAATAGCGTCAAGACACTGTGAAGCATTTACTGCTGAGAGTGAAGCTTTCAACTGTCGGTGAAAGCGTTCTACCAATCCGTTCGCTTGTGAATGGAAGGTGGTTGTTCGGAATTGTGTGATTCCTAGTAGTGTAGCAAGACAAAGGAAAAGTCCAGATTCGAACCAGAGTCTATGGTCTGTAGTGATAGGTGAAGAGCAGTCGAAATTTGCTACTCACCGCTTGTCGAAAGCGCAGGCCACTCTATCAGTAGTAATGTCCTTGATGGTGCTGTTTCTGGCTATCGCGTGAAGTCGTCTACACAAGTTAAGGCGTAAGAGTATCCATTTGAATCTGGTAAGAGTCCTACCAAATCCAGGTGAACATGGTCAAAACGAGTGTCTGGAGTTTTAAATGAGCCTGAGGGATATTTGTCGTGTCTAATCACCTTGAATTTCTGGAAGCTCACACAGATGCGTGCACACTTCATTACGTCTTTGTTCATGCCAGGTCAGGAAACTAGTTATGTGATGAGCGTGAATGGTTGCTCGAACACCTGTATGCGGAAGGTTGTGCAGCGTATTGAAGACATTGCGTCGATCATGTCCCGGTAAGACTGGACAATCCATACCTTTAGATGTGTCACATTTCAAAGTTTCTTTACTTTTTCCCATATGTTTAAATACACAGTTCCAAATTTGTCGAAGATAACTCGAACTAAACATCAATGTCTTCTTTTTGAATAGGGAAGAGCTTGAGAAGGTCGATACCCTGGAAACTGTTCTAACAGGTCATAAGAGACAAGGCGTCTGCTACTACATTGTTTATCGTTGAAATATGTTTTATATCTGAAATGATCTGTGAAATATAGTCAACTTGTCGAGACTCACAACGGGAATACTTGTCTGAATTCGGGATTAGAGAAAAAGTAAGCATTCTACAATTCATAAATAGAGTGAATTCCTGACCTTCTATATAAAGGTGAAAGCGGCAACAGCACAGTACATGGCTTGTGATCCCTTTCTGAAAATGCTATACCTCGATTCAGTGTTGACCGTGTCGAGAATAATGCTGAAAATTGACAGGTGTTGTTTACCCATTTTCATAAGACTCCTTTGATTGCTGAGTCCCAATAGTCCTCTGAGACATTAATGAGTTCTTTGATGTCCTTGTGTCCACGCGTCGCTGCTTTAGCTCTAATTTCCCTAACTGTGGAGAATGTCATACAAATCGGTGAATTTTGCATCCCCGCGTGGTTGATCTGTCAAGGGTCTTATGATAGACGTGTAAATTGATGAGAACCGTCGATAAAAACCTACTGTGAGCTCAAACGTGCGTAACCGTTTGACTGCGGTCGTTTCTGGGTAATCCAGAATGGCCACTAGTTTGCTCTACAGTAGGCGAATACCTTGCGCATCAATAGTATTCCTGAATAGGTCCCGTGAGTCAGCCCCGATCTAACATTTCTGGATGTTAACAATAATGTGATGTGTGTAATGTGTGTGCATATAACCAAACAATTATGTCTCTTTCTTTACAATTGCTTCAGTAAAATGATAGATATTGAATAGAAGTGTGGTTATATATGTAGGGCAAGTGAAATGTCACTGAGAACTAGTCAAATCATCCGGCATTTTGGTCACTGAATATCAAACAAATCATCGATCCTCGTCAAGATCAAGGACAACCAACGCTCATCAGCTGGTCGTATGTCATAAACTGGCTCGTACGGTAGCGGGCTCGCTATTTCTTTGTGCTCATTCCTACTAACGTGTTTCCATAATAACGTCCTTTGTGTTATACGGTCTTCCAAGCAGCCATAGTACTTTGATACGTCAGGGGAATAATTCTGTAGTGGCATTGGGCCCTAACCACACAATCCTCAAATATGAATACGAGACAACTGGGAAAATAGATATTCAAGATCTAACGTGGAGAAAAACCCAACGATGGAGAAGGCGGAAAGAATGAGTTGAATTTATTCCAGTTGATCGGATGGCATGGCTCGGCCTCATAGGCATAGTCGCTCTGTACAACTTGCTGTTACTCATATTAAATATATTGTTCTATCTCCAGCCTGAATGTGTTCTCCATCATATATTGGTAACTGTTACGATACGATGAGTCAGTGTAGACAATGATGTGACTTCCACGTAAGATCTTATAGATCAGGCAGTTACAGCATAACAAATCTGCAACTTTAGGATTAGGTCTATTATTAGAGCAATACTAACATCATAGTGGACCATAATTCTACAATTCACGTTAGATGCTGACCGCGATGTGTGACTTCGAAGTTGGCTGGTTCGTCACACCATCCCCATATAACTCGAATATGCCTCCAATCATTCGATATAAATCATCCACGGTGGTGATCTACATATATTATTATTATTAATGGCTTTATTCAGTATTATATTTTGGTACAATATAGAATTCTCAGCACAGGGTATTTCAACAAGTTACTTACTCAACAACAAACAAAAAGGCAGTAGCAAATACAAAAAGAAATATAAAAAAACCAAAAAAAACTACAAACTTTTAAAATTAAAGACATGTTAAGAATGTAAGTTATTGACTAGGTTAACTCTAACAACCTGTTTGTCACAGAGTATATTTGCTAGGTAAGGTATTATAGAACTTTTATACTTTTCCTTGCGTGCAAGGATTTTAATGTAATTACGTCTCGTTCTACCAGAAGATATACAAGGAGAAAGATAAGAGTGAAGGGGACGGCTAGTATCTTATAAAATAACACCTGCCAGGCGTTTGCATGGTTTTAAATGTCTATCCACAACCATATTAATTATGACCTCGAAAGATTCACCACACGTCTTGCTAACTGCCTTCAGCACTCTTCGCAATACAGCAAAGTCTTTTCTCAAAATCCCGGGAAACAATAATGGAGAACAGTAAAGAATAATAGGTAATATGCAAGAATTGACAAATTGTAAGAGTAAATGACGAGTAATTCCAAGAGCATGCAATCTCTTTATGTAGTAGGTCAGACGGAAAACCTTCTTTGGTAATGATAAAAAGTGGGAATACCAAGAGAGATCAGCGGAAAAGGTGACACCAAGATAATTGATCTTCGACACTGAGTTTATCAAGGAGTCTCCGATGATACAAGCACTATGGGATCTCAAAATAGTGTTTATTTTCCGTTCATGTCTCATACTAAAGTTAACAGCTTGACATTTAGATGGATTAAGTATGAGACCATTACCAACAGACCAACAATCAATACGAGACAAAAACTCATTCATTTCTATGGGATTTAAAGAGGAAGATATAGGCATACATACAGTGAGATCATCCGCGTACTTTACAAAAGTGTTTTCTGTGGAAGATGGCAGGTCATGCAGAAAAAAAGAGAGAAGAAGAGGTGAAAGAACAGCTCCTTGTGGTACACCTTCCTGAGACAGTAGAGAATCTGAACTCTTTCCTCCAAACACAATGTACTGTTCCCTTCCAGAGAGGTAGGAACATAGCCAGTTGGTTATCCAGCTGTCAGTATTGACGCTGATTAACTTGTTAAGTAAACGTTGTCTTGGTATAGAGTCAAAAGCTGAAGTATAGTCCAGAAAAGCACATCGAACATACTTCTTACCCTTTTCTAAGTTGAACACTATGTTGTGATGCAGAACTGCAACAGCATCTAAAGTGCTTCTTTTGCGCCTGTATGCAAACTGGCATGGGTCAGTATGCTCTTTTATCGCTGGCTGAAGTGGAAGTATTAATAATTTTTCCATGGTTTTGAGGAAAGGTGAAGTTATTGCAATAGGTCTACATTTTACATTCTTATCACCAAATGCTTTCTTGGTTACAGGAATTATCTTCATCTTTCTCCACATTTTCAGTATGAGATTAGATGAGAAAGATCTGTTAAATATAGTTGTGAACGGATGACACAGAACGTCAGCACATTTTTTAAATAGGATGTTTGGGATACCATCAGGACCCAAACATCGAGATGAATTAAGCGACTGAAGACATCCTCGTACATCAGTTTCAGTGAAAGTTGGAACACAGCTATTTTTTAAACCCGTGGATAGAGGGAGCATCACATCAGATGACTGACGTACAAAAGACTTATTTAAGTCACAAACATTCAGCTGGTTATCGCTTCTAAACTTTCTGTCACCTGTAAGTTCTTTAAAGAATTTCCACATACTTGGAGAGTTTTTGCAAGATAAGAGTTTTTGAGTAAACATACAGTTGAGACGTCTAATCTCTAGGTTTATCAGACCATTTAGCTTACGAACTTCATTAGAGTTCTTCTCTTTGTACATTCTTCCTTTCATCCTCCGTAGTCGTTTTAGTTGTGAAGATGTAAGTCGATCAAAAGTTACAAAAATGGTTTCAGTGGGACAACAAATATCAAAACAGAATTTAAGGTAGCAAGTAATAACATCAGTAGTGTTTTCGAGTGAGTCATCTGTAAATAATTCCCAGTTAGTCGTATGAAACATGTTTTTCAGATTTCGGATATTTTCTTCTGAGTAATTCCTATATTTGACTTTCTTGGTTTGATGTAAGAGTGTACTCTTCCCATGCTTTCCATATACTTTAGGTAGAACACGAATTATACAGTGATCTGAGCTAGACAATGGAGCACGTTTACGAGTCGCATATACACCCATATCATTAATGAAGACGACGTCTAGATTAGCATCCAAACGGGTAGGAAAATCCACTACATTTTGGTGACCTAGTGACGTAAGGAAGCTACAGTCACATGAATTGAAATCACCACATACAACTGAAAATGAATCATTGAAGGCAGAAACTGCGAACTCAGTCAATTCATCAGCGAAAACAGATAGCGCAGATGATGTGCAATCTGGAATCACGTAGATATTGGTAACATAAACACATTTGTATTTATTCAGATGTTTTGGACGACATCTTAGAGTTAGACAGTCGACAAAGTCATTTGAAAACTTAAAACACACAAACGAAGATCGACACCAGTTTATGTTTACAAACGTAGCTACACCGCCACCACACCTCTTTTTATTGTTCGATCGATCCCGACGATAAATTTTGAAATCATGTAGCGATACAAGGCAGTCATCCTGTAAATCATTCAACCAAGATTCTTGAATTGTGATGACACCACAATTACGGTACGTATTTTGACTAAGCAGGAATTGCAGATAGTCCACTTTGTTGAATAGTGACCGGCAGTTAGAATTTGGTAGCTCGGGAATCGACATACGATTAATGTTCATTCTCTTTAACGCATATTGCCAACCATCACGATGCCTTTTATAGTACTTTTTCGTAACTTGTGCAGCGAAAGGTCGTAGGCCTTTCACAAAAGCACCTGAATAGGTTATGCAATTAATGGATATAATTATAAACTAAAACAAGTGAAAAACGGATAACTTGTTGAAATAATCAGATGGCAGAAACAGGTAGCCCAGATATTCAAGCAGGCCGCCAGATATTATATATAAAGTGTGACAAATAGGGGAAAGTGCGGTGTTTATTTAGTGTTACAAAAATAATTGAATAAACATGTCACAATAAGTCTAGTTGTTGGCGGTAATATATATAGTACAGGATTGTAGACGATCCGATAACAGTTAATTATCAAGGGTGTGTTCGATAAGGTTGATTTTTACATTGGATAAAATAAAGACTCATGCTTACACCTCCTAGTGTTTGGGAAATATTTAGTGCACGAATTGGGAATGAGTGTTAAAACTGTTGTGCACAGTCAACAATCATACAAAACTAGAGATAGTTTACAACAGTTGGTAACGAGCAGGAGAAATGTGTACATTTTTCAAATACTAGAAGAAATGTTTCGAAAATATGAATTACGTGTAACATTTTTACGGGTGTGTGTAGGAACATAGCTTCTGTGCGTATTTCCTATGGCAATAGCCTTTTGCTTCCCTTCAATTATACATTCATTTTATTCAGTTCTGTGAAGTGTTCTTTGGTTCGAAATAAAATTATTACCTATAGATATCTATTATTATGGTTTTGAATTCACAGCTACTTCAACGGCTGCGTTAGTTTTGTTTTACGTAGGCTTTCAGTCTAACAGTTGCCATATTTGTTTTATCGTGGTGATGATGTCACAGGTATTCAGTGTTTCACAACGCTTCTACCAGTAACACCTTCTAATATGTTTCGTTCCCACCAAGAGAAATCAAAAGACAGAGTCGAGGAGATCGGAAGAGTATATTTGGCGATGACCAATATACCGGGATTCTCTGATCTAATCTGGCTAGCGATTGTGGTTGATGTTGAGCACGGCGTTACTACACGTGATCTGGTGCGGATGCCTGACCGAGCGCCTTCAGCTAGATGAGTCCACTAAAACATATGGTCAGCATCCAATGTCGAAAACTTACAGAGCTATTTATTTTAGGGATTTATTTACCGCTACAGATCACTCCCCCCCTAGTGGGGCAGTGACGACCCTAAGACGTGGCCAGCCAGAAGTTTAAACCCAACGAGTTTGTCGTTGGTAAACACTCTTCTGATAGCTTACTAAATTTAGCAGCGTCTGGTCGTCTTTCCTTACTATATGGGACGGAGGTACAACATAGTAAAAAAAAGAAAATGTACAATGAAAATTTCGGATCCTCATAAACGTCATCGTTCTTTTCCAGCCGTCCTGGAAAAGAAAAAAGAAAATGTAAGTGCATGTCGAAATACACTCGTATATGCGTAAAAAAACAAGGTCGGCGGAAAAAAAATGGAAAATAAACTCATGAGCACGTAATAGCGTTAAAAAATTGTTTTTTTTGTTTTGTTTTTTTTAATAGAAATAAAAATATATAAGCATATTAAAATTGTTTTTTTTTTCAAAAAAAAAATAATATAAAATGTCGAGAAGTGCCTTACGTGCAATAGTCGTTTAAATGTTCTGGAAATCTCACCCTTCTTCCAGAACGCGTCGTTTTAAGTTTATTTTCGGATACTGTCGAAGTATCTTCGTGTGCGTTGGTTGTCGGATGAGGTATTATTAGTGTCTGAGTCGTGTCGTTCGATTGTACCGAAGGAAAATCGACGTGGATAGGATTTCCTTCTAAATACGCTGCTTTTAAGCGATCGATGCTGATGCTATCGTTGGTTCCGTTCTTATCGACTATATAGTACTTAGATTCACGTTGAAGAACTTTGAAGGGTCCTTCGTATGCTGATTCGAATGGTCGTCGATGCGAGTCTCGACGAATGAAAACGTGTGTACTATATGGTAAGTCAGGTTGAACGAAAACATCAGTTGATTGAGGTCGAGTGGAAGCAGGTTTAACTGAACGCATTGCGTTTGTAAGCCTGTTCGTGTAGGAGGTTAGATCCATGTTCATCGAAGAGCACGAAGGATCCACGAATTCTCCTGGAAGTCGAAGTGTCGTTCCATAAACGAGTTGAGCCGCAGTGTATCCAATGTCAGCTTTCACTGCATTGCGGATACCTAGTAAGACGAGTGGAAGAGCGTCGGTCCATTGTGAAACGTTTGCAGCTGATAGCGAAGCTTTCAGTTGTCGGTGAAAACGTTCTACCAACCCGTTTGCTTGGGGATGGTAGGCGGTCGTTCGGAAGCGAGTGATTCCTAAAAGTGTGGTCAGACGACGGAAAAGATCAGATTCAAACTGACGTCCGCGGTCTGTAGTGATGGTTGAAGGGCAACCGAAGTTTGCTACCCATCGTTCGACGAATGTGCGGGCCACTGTTTCAGCAGTGCTGTCCTTGATAGGTACTGCTTCTGGCCATCGAGTGAAACGGTCTACGCAGGTTAAGAGATAAGAGTATCCATTTGAATCTGGTAAAGGTCCTACCAAATCCAGATGAACATGGTCGAAACGAGCATCGGGAGTTTTAAACGAGCCTAAGGGACATTTATTGTGTCTGATAACCTTAGATTTTTGGCAGCTTACACAGGAGCGTGCCCACTCCCTCACGTCTTTATTCATGCCAGGCCAGCAAAATCGTTCTGCTATAAGCTTGATGGTTGCACGAACACCTGGATGAGAAAGTTTGTGCAATGTGTTGAAGACATTGCGTCGATAATGTTTCGGCACGATTGGGCGATCCCTACCTGTAGATGTGTCACAAAGTAAGGTTTCCTTACCTGTTCCCATCTGTTTGATGCGTAGTTTAAGTGTTGTGGACGATAACTCGTGCTGAAGATCACTGTCTTCTTTTTGAAGCTCGGCGAGTTTAAGAAGGTCGATTCCTTGGAAACTGTTCAAGGAAGTTATACGAGATAAAGCGTCTGCAACTACATTGTTTGCTCCAGAGATGTGTTGAATATCTGAAGTAAACTGCGAAATGTAGTCCAGTTGTCGAGACTCACGGGGAGAGTACTTGTCAGAAGGAGAGCTTAACGAGAAAGTGAGCGGTTTATGGTCCGTGAAAAGAGTGAATTCACGGCCTTCGATATAGTGTTGGAAATGCCGTACAGCACAATACATAGCTAGGAGTTCCCTACCGAATGTGCTGTACCTCGATTCGGTGTCTAGCAACCTTCTAGAGAAAAATGCCAAGGGTTGCCAGGAGTTGTTAACCCATTGTTGTAAGACTCCTCCGATTGCTGAGTCGGATGCGTCTACTGCGATGCTAATGGGTGCTCGGGTGTCCTGATGTGCGAGCATTGTTGCTTTAGCAATCAGTTCCTTGACTGTGGAGAATGCTTTTCGTGCGGTGTCGTCCAAATTAATGGATTTCGCATTTCCACGAAGTTGGTCGGTCAGAGGTTTCATAAGTGATGCGCATCTGGGTATGAAACGTCTATAGAAACTTACCAGGCCGTTGAACGTGCGTAATTGCTTGACGGTGGTCGGTTCTGGGTAATCCAGAATGGCCGCCACTTTGGTTCTAAGGGGTCGGATACCTTGAGCATCGATAGTGTGTCCCAGAAAGTCTAACGAGTCGGTTCCAAATTGGCATTTCTGAACGTTTACAGTTATGCCATGTTTTTGTAATCGTTCGAAAACAAGGTCCAGATGCTTGAGATGTGTTTCTCTGTCCGGACTTGCGATTAGACAGTCGTCAACATACGCGTGTACGAAGTTGAGACCTCGAAAAACGTCGTCTATGAATCTTTGGAATGTTTGAGCAGCATTCCTTAGACCGAAAGGCATTCGCAAAAATTCATAGAGTCCGAAGGGAGTTATGATAGCCGTTTTCGGTATGTCGTCAGTAGCCATAGGGATTTGGTTATACGCTTTAACCAAGTCGATTTTCGAAAAGACAGTTGTACCTTTCAAGGTAGCTGTCAAATCGTGAATGTGAGGCAACGGGTAACGATCGGGAATGGTTTTCGCGTTCAATCGCCGATAGTCACCAGTTGGACGCCAATCGTTGCTGTCCTTTTTAGGGACCATGTGCAACGGAGATGCATATGGGCTACTTGACGGTCGTATGATTCCTAAGTCCATCATGTGATCGAATTCGTTTTTCGCTAACCTTAGCTTTTCAGGAGCTAGTCGTCGTGCTTTAGAAAATACAGGTGGTCCTGTAGTCGTGATGTGATGTGTAACATTGCTGGTTACACACGGTAGTTTCGTTTGCGTTTGTTGTATCCCAGGGTACTTATCGAGTAGTGGTTGATAGAGTGGGTCTATCATATGTTTAACTGTGACTGGGGATACTCTACAACCAGTAAAAGAAGTTACGCAAACGGACAAATTAGTGTTTCCGTCTACTAGCCTCCGTTTGCGAGTGTCGATGATCAGATTGTGGTGTTGTAGAAGGTCCATACCAATGATTGGCATAGAAACATCTGCAACGACGAAAATCCAGTGGATGGGTTTGCGTAAACCCACGTTAAGGTAAACGTACCTTTTGCCATACGTAGCGATCGGTTTTCCGTTTGCCGCCTGTAAGTTTAGGGTCGATTCGTGAAGTCGGTCGTTAGGATTTGCTGGGAGAACGCTAACTTCTGCGCCAGTGTCGACGAGGTAGCGAACTCTCGTTGTCACATCTGTGACGAATAACAGACGGCTTTGTTCGCCGGCTACGGTTGCCGTTAACGCGTGCCGGCTTGGAAGTTTCCCGAATCAGTCGGTTTCGTGTTGGGAAAATTGCAGGGTTTTCTGCAATTTCTGGAAAACTTTCCATACTGGTTATGATACCAGCACCAGTCGGGGTTATCTGTCTCTCGTGGTCTAGAGACAGATCGCTTACGAGAAATGCTTCTACGTGGTGTGCGCGATCTCTTACGGTCGGTACGAAGACTAAGATAACGCGTGAGTGTGTGACATAAGTCGGTTATGTCATTCTGAGTCGTGTGAGGCTTTTCTTTGACTGAAAATACCTCGGTAGTAGAAGGTTTCGTAATTTCTAGAATGCGGTCGGCAGATACAGCTAGTTCGTCTAAGGCGTTGTTCTGGAACGAGACCAGAACTGCTTGCACCTGTTGGGGAAGTTTTGACAAGAAGAGTTGTTTGAATAGACCTTCGTCGAAAGTTCTTGGGCCTATAACCTCTCTCATCCGTTGCAACATGTCCGTCGCAGAACCGTGTTGCAGGTCGATATTGTTGAAGAGTTGATCTAACCTTTGTCGATCGGTTAGGTCTCCTCGTTTAAGAATCGAGCGTTTTAAGATTTCGTAAGGATCGGAAACATCACTAGTAAACATACTAGGTGTTACGTACCTGTTGAATTCGCGCGGTAGTGCCTTGACTACTGCGAGGAATTGTGCACGTGTGTCGATCACGCCGTGCTCGGAAAAGTCGGCTTCTGCGTAGCAAAACCAGGCTTCGATGTTGTCGGGCCAGAAAGGCATCAGTTGAAACGAAGGTGGGGACAAGGTCTTAAGCTTGAGTACTTTAGGTGTCTGTTCAGTCATGATGAAATATGAAGTACGATAATGAACGAGGGGAAAATATATATATATATCCAAGAAAAACACGAAAAAAAATCACAATGTTTAAAAAAAATAAAAAATAAGGCAATGATATATAAAAATCCCAAAAAGGAACAGACTCACAGTTGCAATAAGGTGTACCAGATCACGACGGTCTCACCAATGATGATGTCACAGGTATTCAGTGTTTCACAACGCTTCTACCAGTAACACCTTCTAATATGTTTCGTTCCCACCAAGAGAAATCAAAAGACAGAGTCGAGGAGATCGGAAGAGTATATTTGGCGATGACCAATATACCGGGATTCTCTGATCTAATCTGGCTAGCGATTGTGGTTGATGTTGAGCACGGCGTTACTACACGTGATCTGGTGCGGATGCCTGACCGAGCGCCTTCAGCTAGATGAGTCCACTAAAACATATGGTCAGCATCCAATGTCGAAAACTTACAGAGCTATTTATTTTAGGGATTTATTTACCGCTACAGTGGTCTTTAGTACCCTGAACTGATTAGTTGTCAAGCAAAAAGAAGTGGTCCTACCACGATAAAACTACGCTTTGACCTAAAATGAATACTGATCAGTCCAATTTGCCTAAATTCTGAGTAGTTAAACTTATTGAGTCAACGAAACATTACCAAGCTCTAGTCAAATCGTCCATCAGTCTGAACCTCTGCTACCTTGTACGATAGGTCAATGGACGTTTTACAGATTATCGAAAACCGTCAAGATCAAGGTTGGTTAACGTGAACTAGTCAAGTGAACATTATGGGCAATCACATGCATCCTCATTTATATTACAATAATCTGTTCCTATTAGTGCACCTTTTTAGCGGTAATATAATCTATTTTGAACAGACTCCAAGCAGTTGAGAAAGCTAGTATTATGATACGATGATGCAGGTTAGGTATTATTTGTGGTATGACTCCGACATACGTTAGGAGGTCACACCATTCGCGACCAACAGGAACAGAGCCTGATCATCCAAACAGGTCACCTAAGTTGGTGCTCTACAAGTAATAAGTAATAACGGTATATGAAATACAAAAGTCGTTTGACCAATCACCGGCCAACAACAACAACAAAAATTCCTAACAAACAATGAACTCACCTCAGTTTCAGTTAGATGGAGCGAAACTAAGCAATCTATACATGACCAATCAAAAGGCAGTAAAACAACGAACAATCTCAAGTAAAACATGAATGGCACAATTAATACGATGACAAACTGTTTATCAGCATGCAAACAGGAAGAGCAGCACTTACAAGATAATATACATATTAGACGACAATATGATGACAACTGTCATGTAAATGAAATCTATCTGAGAATAACGTTTTGGGTAAGCATCACAAACGGAGTTCTCCGAATTACTAAGTGTCCTCTTACATGATTGACACACCGCGTGTAAAGAAGGATAAACCCATACTACTCCTTCGTATTTGGATTGTTGATGCTTGAATCGACATATAGTCTGACGGTAGAATTCCGTCCTCAGATTGCTTGAGAGTGCTTCTCCTCCTCACAGAAATACAAAATACAGCAGTTTGGACGTTAAAGTAGTAAATCCATATACGTTATAATTAATACCGACTTGTTTTCTTCCAAACATTTTTTCAGTCATGTTTTACCTAATTCACTAACAGGATTATATGCTAGTATTAATTCAATACTTTGAATGCAACTGTGTACTTATCTCAGTACTTGTATCTGCTGACATCTTTACCTTCGGTCTGAGTGCTTATAAAGATGTCCCATTAATAGTTTGTAACTCGCATACTCATTCATCTTAGTACTGACGTGTCGCTTATATTTTTGTATGCATATGTACAAAAATCGCTTTATGTTTGCACTCCTTGTTGCAGTAATTCTGTGTCTCCACATGAATGGCGTTACTTTCCTAAATCTTTGCAGTCACATGTAAAATGACTTGGTTATGTCTCAAGAAAGGTTATTCCCATCGTTTTGTTTGCTCCCTTACATTTTGTATGATTTCTTTGGCTTTGTTTGGCGCTTTACTAGCTGAATTAATTTTGTTCTGCCTGACCTCTTAATTTGACGACTATCGTCTTGACTCCTGGTGGTTGAATGTTGGATTTCAGTTGCCTGATTACTTCTATCTCAC